CCACAGGTATTCCTCCTGCCTGCCTTGCTCTTCCACTCAGCACTGTTCCCAGGGTTTATTCCTGTTGTCGCATGAAGCTGAGTTTCATTCGCTTTCACTGCTTTATAGTGTTTTATTTTAGGCCTACCCCTCAGTGCATCACCCAATGCTGGTCCATGGACAGCAGGGCTTCTCCAGTGTTTGACTGTTTCCAACATTTTACAGTCTGTCTCCAGGTTCACGTGTGTTGAAGTGTCTCTAGGGTACAGACCCTGTAGGAGTGGAGTGGAGTGGAGTGGAGTTGTTGGATCAGAGGGCAGTGATGTCACCGGATGATGCCACACTGTCCTCCACTGGGACTGGTTACCAATGTATCTTTCTACCAGCTGTGTCTAAAAGAAGATATTGTTCACATCCCTGGTGAGTCCCTGATGCCAGGCTTTCAAACTTTTTGGCCGCCTGGAGGGTGGGAAATGATGTCTCTTTGTGGCTGTACTTGGTGTTTCTCTTCTTAATGAGAGTGGGTTTCTTTGCATCTTGGCCGTTGGAATTTTCTTTTCTGAGAGAAGCCTGTTTGAAGGTAATTCTATTTCCCTGAACCTTGGAGTCATGGCTGACATGGGAGATGGGGAGGGGAGGAGGGTCCGGAGGGACAGAGGAGCTTCCCTGAAGTCCCCATGGGGCAGTGGAGATAGGCCAAGACAGCCCTCTGCTGGGGGCTTCCAGTGGATGCCATGCTGGGAACTCTGAGAACAAAAATGTGTCTGAGTCCCACGCTCAGCATCTTGAGGAGGTGGGCAGGGTGGCAGGTACCTGGGGCTGTGGTGAATTGGCAGGCATGCGACTCCAGCCAATTTGGTACTGTACATCTTTTAAATCACTTTATCTCCACAATCATTCTATGGAAATTATTGTCCCAATTTTTTAAAAAAATATATTTTATTGATTTCAGAGAGAAAGAGAGAGGAGGAGAGAGGTAGATACATCTATGATGAAAGAGAATCATGGATCAGTTGCCTCCCACACCCCCCCACTGGGGATCGAGCCCATAACCTGGCCATGTGCCCTTGACCAGGAATCAAACCTGGACCTCCTGGTTCCTAGGTCAATCCTCAACCACGAAGCCATGCCGGCCAGGCTATTTATATATGTTTCAGAGAGGAAGGGAGAGAGAGAGATAGAAACATCAATGATGAGATGCCTTCTCCACACTGCCTATTGGGGATTGAGCCCACATCTAGGGCATGTGCCCTTAACTGGAATCGAACCTGGGATCCTTCAGTCCACAGGCTGGCACTATGTCCACTGAGCCAAACCAGCCAGGGCTATTGTCCCAATGTTATAGATGAGGAAACTGAGCCACAGATAAGCAGAACCGTAACACAAAACAGATGAGATCACAAAGGAGGGGCAGGAAGCCAGAGAGGAGATGTGCAGAGTCGCAGCGTTGCACTGTGACGTGTGGGGGTGGGCGTCCGGGCTTCCAGACGTCTGAAACCCCCGGCCCGCACGCCTGCCGCCTCCAGACAGGATTCCACTCATTCATTGTGTTTATCCCGCTGACCCGGTGCCGCCTCCGAATCCAGCTGGACACTCCTGGTCCTCCTCCCCATAATTGCCGGGGCAGGACTGAGCTGAAATATGACGGGGAGGGGATTACGGATTTGGCTGCAGGATTTTGTGAAAACACATGGAAGTTGCACATTAATATTAGTCAAGGACTGAATGGGCCTTTTTAAGGAGTCGAGATAAATTTTGGCAAAATCGGCTCTTGCCTTGAGAAGCATCCAGTTTACTTCGTGGGAGTCAAAAAATTATGATTTTTCTTTCCCGTTCGGTTTATTTAACTAGTGAAAAGTCTCGAGTCCGCATGTCCTACGCAGCCGGCTGGCCTCCTGAAGTCATGAGTTTGGCCACGCAGATGGCGGGCCTGCGTTTTCCATTATGCTCCCTCCTCGTTAGGGTTTTGCCCTTAGTCTGCGTTACACATTTCTCTTGAACTTGATGAGCTCTGGCATCTCGTTGAGGGCATGTACGGGGAAAGCAGCCTTCCTTTGATCTTCCGTTCTGCTCAACCTAAACATTAGGGAGTGGCCATTCAACGCTGAACAAACACAAAACTCAGCTGCAAAGATGGCGGGTGTTGCATTTGTTTGCCACATCCCCTCCATGCTGAACTAAGCCCACAGCCAGCCCGCCTTGAAGAGCCTTCTTCGGGATGGAATTCCCCTGGTCCAGAGTCCTGACTGTCGGGCCTCACCGAGCAATCTGTGTAAGCAGGACATCCTCCAGCTACAGAGGGCTTTCCAGCTGTGCAGTCACTGTCCATGGTGGGTCCCCATGGGGCAGTCACCTTGTACTTTCTCTGAGCTGCACAGGCGCTTCTGGAAAGGGCCCCTGGCCTCCTGGCTGTGTTTGTCATAACATCTGCTCAACACAGGGAAACAAGGGAGCTCCAGTCTTTGGACAAACAGTCCTCAGAGCCGGGTGAACTTGGAGGGCAGAGCGCTGACCTGGGCAGGACCTGGGGGGCCAGACTGCCCAGCCCCCTCCGCTTGCCCTTCTGATGGGTTCCAGAACTCTGCCCTCCCCGCCAATAGCTCTTGAAAGCCCCTTGCAGGTCTAATGGTGACTTCCTCTTTCTTTCTCTTGGGCCTGAAGAGGAGAAAGGAAGAACAAAACAAAATCAAGGGGCGGGCTGCCAGGATTTTCAGCTTCCTGTCACCCTTGAGACAGTGATGAGATTGTTTTCCTCATGAAGGCTCCGGGGTGCGTAGTGGCACTTGCTAGAGTCAGTTAGCACCAAGTGTCCTCTAATTCGTGGTGAAGTGACAATCTGACTGGACTGTGATGTGTTCCAGCTTTTAGCGATCATTTATAGGTCACCAGGCAGCTAACAACCCCAAATGAGGGGCCATTATCTTTTGACAAGATGGAGCTTTCTGAGCCTGGAGGGGGCTGGGAAAGGAAAGGGAGGAGTATTACTCCAAAGCCCGGCTGGATATTCTCTCTGGGAATCAGTTCATCTCTAGAGCTTTGCTGCCAGGCACTCAGAGGAACTGAGTGGCTCCCTGTTAGGTAGCAGGAGAGAAGGAGGCAAAGGCTTCCCTCATGGCCAGGCATTTCTCTGCTCAGCAGGCATGATTGGAGAGGGGCACGATGGGAGAGTGTCCTGTGGGTCCCTGCAGGCTGACGCTCGGGTTGCACACCCTGGTGTGGCTGTTCAAATGTTTTTGTAGTCATTGTCCATTGTGATGGGTGAAGCACCTGCTCTAGTCATACTGAATGTTAAATATTCCAAATAGCAACTTTGCCTGGAACAACTTGGTTCTTTTGCAGAGCCTACTTTTTCTCCTAGAAAACACCATTAATTAATTAATTAATTAATTAATTAATTGACTTCGGAGAGGAAGGGAGAAGGAGAGAGACATCAATGATGAGAGAGAATAACTGATTGGGGGGTTGAGCCTACTAGCCGGGTATGTGTCCTTGACTGGAATAGAACCTGGGACCCTTCAGCCTGCTGGCTGATGCTCTATCCACTGAGCCAAGCCAGCTAAAGCAACAAACATCACTTTAAATAAAACTGTCTCCCTTTCATCATTAGAGTGTTCCCTAAATTATATAAAAGCTGTCGACTTTGTGTTAACTGTAAGCAGAATGGCGTGATCTTGGAACAACCTACTTGGACTGCGGAGGGGATTACGGGGCCTGGAGTTGTGGCAGGGGTTCCAATTCAGCTCGACCTGGGTCTCAGCCTTTTCACATGTTGAACACACTTTGAATGCTAAGGTTTTGGGCAGAACCTTGAAGGGAATTAAAATGTTCAAGATATGAAACCATCAGCAGTAATGCCAAGACTGTCAATTAAGGTATAACATTGTCTAAATGTGTTTTTCTTTTTAATCACCCTTTTCATACCATTTTTTTTAAAGGACATCTTTTTGTTTTGTTTTAAAAAATATATATTTTATTGATATTTTACAGGAGGAAGGGAGAGAGACAGAGAGCTAGAAACGTCCATGAGAGAGTAACATCACCAGCTGCCTCTTGCACACCTCCTATTAGGGTTGTGCCCGCAACCAATGTACATGCCCTTGACCGGAATCGAACCTGGGACCTTTCAGCCCGCAGACCGACGCTCTACCACTGAGCCAAACCGGTTTCGGCTCATACCATTTCTTGTCCCCTCGGTTCTGTGTGGCTCCTTGAATAGAACAGTTTGTAGATCTCGTCACAGTCTGGAATATGAACAGGACGATGCGGTCACGTGTTTTATACCACGTGCTGCCTCTGGTGGTGTCAGCATGGGAGCCACACTGGGTTTCGGCTGCCACTCACCACGTGACCATCTCAGCTTCTCCTCTGGACAGCCCCCCCATTGGTGGCATTGCATGGTGGTTAAAAGCAGTTAAGAAGGAGAGAGCCCAGGCTGGCTGGGCTCAGATTCCAGCTCTACCATGCAGGGGTCATGTGGCCTTGGGTGAGTTACTTAACCGTTGTCTGCCTTAGTTTCTTCAACTGTAAAACTGGGTTAATAACGTGACCTACCCTTACTGAGGATTCAATGAGTTACACATGCAACACTTAAAACAATGTTGTGCCCAGAATAAGTATTTTATTTAAATATATTTTATTGATTTTTTTACAGAGAGGAAGGGAGAGAGATAGAGAGCTAGAAATGCCGATGAAAGAGAAACATCGACCAGTTGCCTCTTGCACACCTTCTACCGGGGATGTGCCCGCAACCAATGCACATGCCCTTGACCGGAATCGAACCCGGGACCCTTCAGTCCGCAGACCGACGCTCTACCACTGACCCAAACCAGCTTCAGCCCAGAATAAGTATTTTAAATAAGTGTTCGCTTTTGTTATTTATTATATCGGCCTCAGTGTGACCCACAGTGCACTTAGAAAGGGCTGTGGCCACGTGGTGTGCCGTGGCATTTCATCCCCGGAGACCCAGAGGCCTAGAAACTGTCTCCTTCACAACTCAGCCCACAGCCACCCCAGACAGCCACGTGTTCAAAGTGCAATGCTTTTATTTGGGTTTACCACAGAGGTTGATAAACATTTACCCACATAAAATATCGTGATATTTATCCATATAAAATATCATAACAAGGATTGCAGGCATAAAAAAGAATGAGTCTAACTATTCTGTTTTTGTAATGCACAGTCCTCTCTGTTGATTATTAAGTAAGAAGACAATGAGGTCAAGACGCAGGAATTTTCAAATTCAATTTCAGCATTTCCCAAAGATAGAATCATAGAACGAAGGACACGGACAAAAAAAAAAAAAAAAAAAAAAAAAGATAATTTCCTTAAAATGGAACCAGCCACCTTGAAAATTATTTTGAAGAACACAGAAGAAGTTCTCATACTTCAGAAGGTAGAAGTGTTGCTAGTTGGCCCGGCCTCTGGGACCCGCACTCCCTGGGTGCTGCCGGGCTCTGGCAAAGGAGTGTAACCTGCCCTTGGAGTGTCATCTCAGACACAGACACAATCACTCTTGCTTTTGGTCCAAAAACACAGACAGGGCTCCCTCCTTGCTGATGACTCTTGAATAGAAGCTTTGGCTCTTCTTATGCATTTGGCCTCACGATCTTCATTGACAAATAGTTCTGGGAAGGAAGCGAAGACAGCGTGAAACAGATATCTATTTAAGGGAGAGGTCTCTAGGCCTTGACACTATGGACTTTTAGGACCAGATGATTCCTTCTCGTTGGGGGCTGTCCTGGACATCGCAGGATGTTCAGCAGCATCCCTGCCCTGTCCCCTACCCACTAATGCCAGTAGGTAACCTTCTTCCTCCCTCCCTCGCTATTGTGTCAACCAAAATGTCTCCAGACATTGCCCTTTGGGGAGCAAATCTCCCCCAGGTGAGAACCACTATTCAAATCAATAGGATCTAGGTAAAAGAAATAACTATGAGGAATTTTTTAAATGGTCAAGACAGATGGACCTACAACAAGAAAATAGTGTACATGGACTTACAGTGAAACTGAAAGTATTATTCTGGGGGAAACAAAGACATGACATCTCATGTTGTGGTTGTGTGACTGTGCTCCTCACACAAGCTACTCTATTATGGTTAATATAAATTGAAGTAAGAGAATCTGAATGCCTGGCAAACTGGTCTTTAATGTCCCCAACTTGTATAAACCATTTTCAGCATTTGGTCCATTTGTTGATATTCCTACCGCAGTTTGCCTCCCATAGTAGTTTACTTGTTCCTATGTCTGCTTATCCCTGGGCTATGAAGTACTTGTGGGCAGAAATCATGCCTTGGTTATATGCATACCCCAATTCCTAGCCTACGGTAGAGACTCGATAAATTCCTTGAAAGGTGGGATGAAAGCATTGCTTATAGGCACATGGCAAAATCCCCACTTGGACTTCCGCTTATGACTGGGATGATTAAGGGAAAGTTACGGGTAAGTTATGTGGTGTGGGTCTTAAACAATGAATAAGATGTTGATAGACAAAACATGGACAAAGGAACAGCACTGGCAAAGACATCCTGGCAGGTAAGAGCAATACGTGTGTGTGTGTGTGTGTGTGTGTGTGTGTGTGTGTGTGTGGAGAAGGGATGTTATCTAGTTTGGGTAAAGTTCAGGGTTTGTGTAGACCTACAAGGGTCCCAGATTTGGGGATCTGTGAGTGCTGAAGGCAGGAAGATCAGTTAGAAATGCTGGCTATAGTCCAGCCAGATATTGATAAAGGCCTGAGAGATTTCTCCTAGGATTCCTGACACCAAAATTATTTTCAGGCCATAAAGGTTTGTCTGGAACTTGTGAAACCCTAAGAATGCAATTCTAACCACAGGACCCATTACTTTAAATTTCCCAAAGGCTGAAGGGTCGTGAGACCACAACTCCGAAGTCATTCTTCTGAAACATCCAAGGCAAGTCAGTGCCAAGTTCGATGACCAACCACTGTTCACACACACACACACACACACACACACACCACACACAATCACACACACACACATACACACACACACACACACACTACACACCACACACACACCACACACCACACACACACCACACACACACGGCCAGGACGAGGAGCAGGGACTGTACCGGTAAGGAGTACAGGAGCACAGCCACGAAGAGCATCAGGATCAGCAGGATCAGCAGGCCGATGATGACCCACTTGTATCGGCGCCACACGATGAACTTCATGGTCTTGCACGGGTTGGTGAACCACAGGAAGGAGGTATCTGGCCGGCTGCATTGCAAAGAAATGGTTTACCTACCCAACTCAGGAGGGACAGACATTTTACTGCAGGGCATAACACCATTTAAAAAATACATTAGCAACACTTATAAAGTCAAGAAAAGATATTATTCCCCTTAGTTGGCAAAGAAAGATTCTTGAACCTTTCATAACTTCCTAAGATGTTGAAGGCAACCCCGACTTTGGTTTCCATGGAAAGGAGAGTGATTAAAATAAAGCTGGATCACCAGCCTTTCTACCCCAACCCCCACTATTAAACACAGAATTAGAAGGACAAGAGCTAATCCAGCCTATTAAGCCAATTGGAAGGGGGGCTTTCAGTCTGCAGGTGTTTAGGGACGAGAGGACACCAAGAACAAAGAGGGCTCTCACTTTGGTAGGTCCAGCTTGGGGTTCATGTTGGGTTCATCCCTTCCCTTCCCGGCTGGCCTCTCGTCGGCCTCCTTCTCATTAAGGATTTCCAACGTCATCTCCACTTTCCCCTTCAGTAAAGCAGAACAGGTTAAACACATGACATCATGCTTCACAAATATTTTCTCTTCAGCCCAAGGAGTATTCCCCGAGCAACGATTTTTATTCTTGTAAAACAATCCTGAGATTGCCTTCGATTTTCCTCAGGAGATTTCATCACATTTCCTCTTCCATGTGGTTCTGAACCGGCTCCTTGTGGGAACCCGGGAGGACAAATTGCTTCCCCTCCTCCCTGCTCCCGGCCTGTCGCTCTCTGGATCCCCATCATTCTGCCTCACATCCATCTCCTTGCCTCTGCACACACCTTCCTTTGTAAGTCTGCTTGGACACAGATGAACCTGAGTAGGGCTAATAACAATGTCTAATATTTATGGAGCATTAACTGTAGGCTCCAGGCAGCCCACATGCTTCAGGCTTACCAGGGACCACCCACGGTCCAGAGCTGTGCAGATACTTAGTGGGTCCTCAGGGTATGCGAACTGAATAAACAAATGAGGGAGTGAACGAATGAATGCTGTCTCTCTGGGCCCTGCTCACCCCTTCCTTCTGGATAATCTCCTGTAATGCTCGTTGCAATCCTATAAAGCAGGTACTGTTGCTGTCCTCAAGTGCACAAGAGGCTGAGAGGTCTAGAAACTTGACCACTTGGATAGCCAGGCTTAACTAAGTTGTAACAATCTAAGTCAACAGCAATTTAGGAACCTCGACCCCGAGATCCGTTTAGGCGGTGGAGCACTGATGCCTTCTATGTTGATGAGCCAGACAAAGCAGGGTGTCTGACTACGGCAAGGTGCTCCATCTCTCCGAGCCTGTGCTTGGAGCCTATCAAAAGGGGATAATGTCTAGTTGAAGAGGTAGTGAGCAGAACTAAGTGAGATTAGGTGCAAAGTCATCTCTAAGTGGCAGGTAGCAGCTAAGTGATTTCCTGGGCCGGCTTGGGGGAGCGATGGGCTGCAAAGGGCACAAGGAAACTTTTGAGGTTAATGCGAATGTTCTCGATCTTGATCACAGTGGTTCCATGAGTGCATGCAGCTGTCAAAACTCATCGAAGTACACTCTGGATGGGTGCATTTTATTTATGCAAATTATACCTCAAAGCTGTTTTAAGAAACAAGATTATGAATGTAAGGCATTTAGCATGTTGACTGCTTCATAATTAGTGATGTGGAATCTTAACTATTATTAATACAGAAGGAATTAGGTAGTCTTTTGTGTCAGAGCATAGTGACCTGCACTCTTTTTTGTTTTTAACAGTTTGTGATTTTTAGAGAGAGAAGGAGAGGGAGAGAGAGAAACATTGATGTGAGAGGGTAACATTGATCATCCCCCTCCTGCTTGCCTTCTGCTGGGGATAAAGCCCACACTCTGGGCATGTGCCCTTGACCTGAATTTGAATCAGCCTCTTTCTGGTGCACGAAACCACATCCAACCAGCCGAGCCACACTGGCCAAGGTGACCTGCATACTTGCTTCTATGTCAGGATATATCCTGAGTTCTCCAAATTTGCTTGTAAGTTAAGGCCTTCTTGCTCAGTGAATGTCAGCATCTCCACTTCTTTCATCGTATTATTATTTTTTAATTTATGAAAACAGCTCAAATGTGAAGTTCCCTTTTCCATACTGAACTGCATTAATAGCTCCGCATAAATTAGCCTTCTTAGTGAAGGAGGCTCCCCCAGCACTGCCACCACTCTGGCTCTCAGTGTTTTGACAATTCCTATCCCCCCACCTTCCACTCAACCCCAAACATCGGCTCATGGACACCTTCTCTTGTGATCCCAGGTACACGCCATTCTCATAACCTAAAGTCCCACCAATTTAACTCTCCCTTATCTTATCCGGAGTAAATCTCTTGAGGGAGAGCAAAACCTAAATGATAAAAGGTGGGATCGACCCCCCCCCCAACTCTCCCCCAGGAAATGCTCCTACCGCCATCACCCGGGAGCCCTCTTGGTCCCTGTAGCATGGCCACCAGCCTCGCATGGACTTCTGCTCGAAGAGGGAGGCCGTTTTCACTTTCAGGGGGTCCATGGCCTTGAGGTCCGGGATCATGTCCAAATGACACTTCTCAGATGATTTTGCTGGAATGATGGTGCGATGCAAATCCAGTTCCAGGAAACCTAGCGGGGGAAACAGTGGATCAGCTGTCCTTCCCACGGGAGCAGAAGCCCCTGCAGGAGAGGCAGAGGCTGGTCTTGAACAGGTAATGAGTGCGTTAGAGAAAGGGACCTTGGTTGACATCGAAAATTCTTCCCAGATAGAATGGAAAGTTTCAGGAGATGCACCTGCCCACCCACCACTTGCAGCTCACAGAGGACTAGATGTTTTATTTCTCAAGGACAGGAGCATACACAGAGTTTGTCTACAAGCTCAAAACAGTGAAGCGTCTACAGACAAAACTCCCATGAACCTGGATCTGAAAGTGGCTCATAGTCGTTCTGAATGGCCACACCAGCTATGCCCTTTGAAAGCATTCATCTCACCTGGCACAGAAAAGTGCTCCCCTACAGCATGCATGAAAAGAGTGGGAGGAAGAAATAGAGCCAGCCCATGAGACGGTCCTGGGGCCTGGGAGAGAGAATATCGGAAGAGCACTGTGCTATTTGGGTGGTGGTGCAGGGAGGGATGTGTGCCAAGAAACAGACAAGCCCAAGATGTGTGGATAGTACTTAATGGGTACCTTTAGCCCCAGAGGAGGCTGAACCTGGGGGGAAAGAACAATGGCGGGGCATTAGGGACCTCAGTGACATTTGAGAGCAGCCTGGAGGAGGAGGTGCTGAGGGGAGAGAGAGAGAGAGAGAGAGAGGGAGAGGGAGAGAGGGAGAGGGAGAGGGAGAGGGAGAGGGAGAGGGAGAGGGAGAGATAGAGAGAGGGAGAGGGAGAGGGAGAGAGAAAGATGGTTTGGAAGTAAAGCAGGCAGGGGTGTGGCATCCTTTTGTGAAAACAGGATTTGAGTCTTAACAGCAAGACAGAAGCTGGTACAAGAGCCTCCACGGAGCCCACAGGAAGGGGTGGCATTCACTGTGCCCCCTGCTCAGAGGACCCGAGACAGCCGATGAGGAGGCCACAGTGCCCAGAGGACATTCAGGCCGTGAGCGAGCTCCACGCCCACTTTCCTGCGGCACCGGAGATTTCAATACTTGGTCCCAAACTTTAATTCATTTCATGAATTCCAGGCACAATTTCTTAGAGGAAAAAAATATCCAAATGGAAGCTCTACCCAAGAAGTCATCCAGAGAAAACTTGTCGTTATCCCAAATCTGGATGATCAGTTTGGGTGGCACCCGAAATTCGGTTTGGTCGATACTCCAGAAATGCTCCTGAAATGACAAGAGAAACAGACAAACCAAGTTACACGGATGAGTGGATTCTGAAACCCTTCCCTTGGAAACTCCGGTACCAGGGCATTGGGGCCTTCTCTCTCCTTTGCACCCCCAGCCTGGAACCCTCTCCCCTCAGCCCTTGCCCTCCACCCAGGCTCAAGGTGGGCTCCCCAGGATGTCTCAGGCCACCAGCCAGGTGATAAAAAGGATGTCCCAGGCAGCTCCCAACAGAAGGCTCCCTGCCATGTCCCCCTGGGTGTGACTTCCTGGAGTTTGGGGTGTGTTCTCTCCCCGCCACCCCACCTTACCACCCCCACCCCCAAAGACCACTGAGGCTCGCTTAGATTACCCTCCAAAGTCAGGAGGTCCTATAGGCCAGCCACAGCATCCCCTCCTGGGGTGTTCTTCTACTCAGCCACCTTCATACACCCACAGATCTCCGGCCCATCCCCCACGGATGTCTGAGCATCTGTGGGGGCGCAGATTTTGCTCTTTTATCGGCCACAGATTTAAAATGTCCAGGCGTTTTGGGCTTTTGAAAGATATTGCTGGGTTTTACATGCTGTGGCCACTAAAAGCCCCAGATCCCTCACCCTAGTCAGGCGGAGGGAGGGCTGGGTAGGGTTTCCGAGTTCTCACCGCTGGTGCCTGCCTCTGCCTGGGCACTCTGAGCCCCAGATAGTCACACCTGCACAGCCTAACCATCCCCGAGCTCCTCTGGCCCCAGAGAACGGGGAGCCCCCAGGGCTTCGGGAATTGGAAGGAAGACTGTTGAGTTGCTTCTTGTTTTTCAAGTGACATTCCAACAACGTGCCCCTTTGCAGGGCCCAGCAGGCCTGGCTCAGACAGGCTTGGAAGTCCACTGTGCTGTTGTCTGGCCCCACCTGACTGTCCTGTGTGGGCTCACACTCCCAATACCACCAGGGCCCGGGAGGTCCAGCTCCCGATTCGGGCAAATAGGAATGTTAACTTAACTAAAGGCCCACCTGACCCGCACCCTCTCCTCCCCCATGCCAGTCTGCATGATTCGACATCAGGTTGAGCTCAGTGTCTCTAGAAAGTGCCCTTTGAAAGCATTCATCTCACCTCGCACAGAAAAGTGCTCCCTACAGCATCAGCACTGAGACACAGAGGCAGGTATATGTCAATCAGATGTGGGGAGAGAAGGTGACCAGAAGAGCTAGGGAAAGTCTATAGAAGTGGGGGTAGAAGTGGGATGGAGGACCCAGAGGAGACATCTGTTATGACTGCCTGCCCAGGTTTCAGGCCCAGAAGTTGGGATGAAAGCACCCAGAGTTTTCTTGGGGAGTCCCTTCCTCCCATCCGTGCGATTTGGGAAGAACTGACTCCACCCTTCACTCCAGCCCAGGCCGGTCCGCGCACTGCCTCCCTGGCAGGCAGCACCGGTTGGTGCAGGAACTGCACATGACTCCTCACAGGCAGTGAGGTCCAGTTCCAAGAGTCTGGGTGGCACCATTGGGGGTTTGTCCTCTTTCTGCTGAGGTGCTGAGAGGGCAGGATGGGAGCCGGGCCTCCACCAGGGAGGGAGGCCCACAGAAGAAGGCTGAGCAACGCGGTGGAGAAGGGAGAGCAATTTCTAACGACTCCAGTTCAACCTGGGACCCTGAAGCCAGCCGGCCCTGGACTTGCCAGTAATGTGAATCAACAAATCACTATTTGGACATACGCTGGCTTGAGCTGAGCTCTATAGCTGCGAGTCTTACAAAGTAAGACCACCAGAGCCCTGAACCATCGTGAAAATGCCTCTGAAGAAGGGACATTGTACGTAATTGGATATTTTGCCTCTGTTTGGTTAACTCGTCAAACAGTTCTGCTGATCACGGGAAGAAGTTGGTTTCCCTGTGACATAAACACACACTTGGGTTGTTGTATAGATGGATACAAGACCCGCGTGTCTACCCTTCTCCAGACCCTTCCCCTGGCCACCAGCATGCGAGGGGAAGGAAAGTGACATCCCGTATACGTCTAACTACACACATGGCTGTGGTGGCTGAGCGGCGCTGGGCACATAGCTACCCCGCCGTGAGTCTCAGAGTCGCCATCCGCTCACGACCGCCAAGGTGCGGGGCGGTGCCAACATCCTCTGAGTGTCTGTGTTACGGAGGGCCCGGGACATCCCCTTCCCGCTGGCACATGTCAGCGCTTACTTTTTTAGCCACGAGACACAGTTGTTCAGCTGGGAGGTAGTCAAACGGGAAAACAAATCTCCAGTTAAAATTCCCTTCGCCATCCAAGGACCTGTAATGGACATCTGTTTTCTGTTTGTTTTCTTCACTGCCAGGAATCCAGCTGAAAAGCAGAGGCAAACAGGCTTAGCTTCGTGTGATTGACAGGTAATCTAGCCGCAAAATTGGGCCGTGATTAGGGGAGTGAAGGGCAGGAGAATTAATGCACTTTTCTTGGGCGGCAGCCAGTTATCTCCGGAGCTGGGGGCTGATTTATGAAGGGGAGGTGCTCTGTTGCATCCAACACAGGTTGTAGCCAAATAAAATACAATTCCTCTCAAACCAAAGCAGGAAACCCTTTAGACTTCAGTTAACAGGGATAAGGTGAAATTTTCTGGAAAATATCAACAACGTAGCTTCTATTTTTGGGAACGCTGGAGCTTCCTGGCTATGATTTCAGTCTTCATAACTATAAATCATCGCTGTCTGTCATCAGTGCTGACAGGGCTCAACGAATATGAGTTAGTTCTAAACTTCAGCATTTCCTTTTCCACATTTTACGTAAGCAAACAAAACAGACATGACTTCCAGCTTCCTTTTTTTTTTTTTTTTTAATTATTCTTAGATCTACTCTGATCATATTAATGAGACTAGCAAGGAAGATAGGCTTTTTCCATACGCATACCTATGAACATTCATTTCCTTCAGCAATTTAACATCTCAACTTGTGACATTCCCTTGACTTGTGCCTGGCACAGAGCAGACACTAATTAAATACCTGTGGAAGGAATACGCAAACGAACATGCCTAGGAAGATGTTGCTGTCACCTCTGCCTGCTACTGGGAAAACTTCTGGTTGGAAGCAGGGGTAACACTGGCTTTTAGGCTGTAACGTGGTTGAATGCATGGTTCTCAACCCTGAATGCACATTAGAATTGCATCGGAATCAACCAGGGAGCTTTTAACATCACTGATGCCTGGACCTAACGGACAGAGATTCCTGGCAGGAGGCAGGCCTGGCTGTGAACTTGGGCTACCACCACCTCTGAGCTTCATCTCCCATTGGTAAAGTGAGGTTGGTGACGTGCAATCCCCATCACATGGTCAACATGAGGACAGATCACTTCCTGGAAGGGCCAGGACGGGAAGGGGGAAATCCTTAATGCATGTTTACAATCATCTACTGTGAACCAGGTCATTAGCATGCCTTATTTTACTCTTCCCGATTGTATGTCAGAGAGGCTATCTAACTTCCATAAGCTCACACAGCCAGTAACGGACAGAATTAAGTATAATTCCCAGTCTGTCTGAATCCCAAAGTCCAGGCTTGTTACTGTGCCTCTAAGGACCATGAAAAGTGCTAATATTAGGTCCTAGTAATAGTGGTGGGATTAACATCAACCAACTACAACAGTTTTACTTTTTGCTGGTCAATTAATAGACTAGATAACTTAGCTGAAAAATCTCTGTTGGCAAATTTAAAAATTCCTTTGGACTCTTGACTTCTAAGTTTTTAACTAATTCACTGAAGAGAGCCCACACACTCTGGCTAGGACCTCAGTGGCTTCACCTCTTGATACAAGACCCCAAAGCATCACCATCATCTTCCCCCAGGGCCGCTCACCCCCCTTTTTAGTGCATCTTTTCACGTTTAATTTTACATATGAATCTTTTCACATTTTATTTTTAAAACAAGTTAACTACCTTAAGTTTATGTACTTGTGTATACACATATATAACTTTGTATGTAATATCCATACGTGGGTAGTACTAGGCATTATTTATCTTTTCACATATAGCATTTAGATTTTAATTGCAAATATGAATAGTACTTTAGATTGTGCTTTATTTTTTTTTATTAAGAGTTTTCTTCTTTTAGTCAAGTATTACTTGAATTTGTTTTCCTGACTTGTGTGTCTCCCTCTCACCCCCCTTTACTAGTTCTATTTCCCTGGAGAACCCTAACTAATACACATAATGTTTACTATCTGCCAGGTATGACCCTAAATGCTTGGAGTAACTCAATCTTCTGAATATCCTCAAAGCAATAGGTACTTTCATTATCTCCATTTTACACATGAGGAACAGTGAGTTAACTAACTTGTCCAGCTAGTAGGGAGAGTACCAGGATTTCAACCTACTCAATTTGATTCCAGAGTCTGGCCTCTTAATCACTATGTCATCCTATACTCAACATCCATGATCAAGGCACAACACGGAACTAACATCCACATGAACTGCTTGGAGTTGATTATGCAAGTACCAGAATAATGAACAATGATCCTCCTCACAGGCTGGAGGCAGGCACTCCGTAAGGGTTGGGGACTGAATGTAAAAAATTCTACTAATGTTCCTTCTTTTCCATGGACATTAGCTACTGGTAATAAAATATACAGGAAGTGAAACCTTGGAACCTTATCTTGTTTCTAAAGTCACTTAATCAAGGTATCAAGAAGAAATAAAAATGAACTGCATGACTAAGACGTCTCAGAAATAACAAACCTGCTTAATAAACTCAACAATACCCTCTTCCAAAAAAAGAGAAATGGAGAAATAGGGATCAGTTCCTATAGTCATTAATGCCTCTGCTTGTAAACAAGACTCATACAGGTTTTCTTCTCCTTCTGCTCACTCTGCCTTTGTCTCCCTGGACTTTCCTAAGTAGACTACTGCATTAAAGAGATAACATACTTTCACGTAACCAAGAATCCTACACCTAAAGAGTGAAACCTAGCCAAAACCGGTTTGGCTCAGTGGATACAGCATCGGTCTATGGACTGGGGGGTCCCAAGTTCGATTCCGGTCAAGGGCATGTGCATTGGTTGCGGACACATCCCCAGTGAGGGGTGTGCAGGAGGCAGCTGGTCGATGTTTTTCTCTCATTGACATTTCTAGCTCTCTATCCCTCTCCCTTCCTCTCTGTGGAAAAATCAATAAAATATATTAAAAAAAAAGAGTGAAAACTAAGGAAGAAGAGAGCTTGTTCCATTCTCGGAGTTTGTCAAAGGTGCTCACGTGCTAACCTTACCCTTTGACATAGATGTCGCTCATCTCCTCTCCTGTGATGCTTTTCTCGTCCAAGATAACGTCCTTGGTGTTCCAGATGATCACACGGAGGTAGAATCTAAAACAGGAGCACAGTTTGAAGGTGCTTTTCTCCCCTGGTCCTGCCCCAAGACCCTAAGCCAGGGTAGCAGGGTCTCATTTACCTCTTGGCTTTCCGGGGAGTGATGTTGAAAGGAGGGCCCGGTGGGCCCAAATTCTTGGGGAAGACATCCACCCACATCTGCAGCTTTCCCTAAGCCATTCAAAAAGGAAAAGGGAAATAAAGTTACCTATAGGTGGCAGAGACTACAGTTTTCACTCATGTTTCCTAGGTGAAACTCTGTCTTTCGGCTTGCTAACTTATTAGTCCACATAAAGCGAAATAAATAGATAAATAAATGTTGAAGAGAAAATCCAGATGAATTTCATATCTTCAATGTCATTTAGGCCACCCACTCCCTACTCTCACCCAGGAGTCTCTGCTGGCCGCATGGACCCACCTGTATCAGAGTCTGAGCCTTCCTGGTTAATAAAATGAGGGGCTTCTCATGACTAACAGCGCCCCCTTTGCACACAAACATACTCACAAATACAATCACACACATATACCCCCCCTTACAGCCCCTTCAAGTTGGGCCCTTCTCTCTCAGAATCGTTCTCAAGCTGTCACTCTATTCACCACCACACTGTCTACTTAATGTCAGTCTCAGTTTTGTGACACCCAAGGGTCTCTCCATTTAACTCAAGATGGAAAATCAAAACAATGTGAAGCGGCATTTAATTTTGTGAAAGAAAGACTTACAACGTGGTGCTTCCAAAGCAGAGACTCAAGCGATGACAAGACTATGACTGTTCCCCCAGGGGGAGGTCTCCCTGACACTGGCTCATGGCGCCCACTGCCAGAAGGATGACAGGGCCCATCTCCATGAGGCCCTGCTCAGGCCTTTGACAGCCACAGACAGGCACATCCATCTGACTGGAATGTTCTTCCAAACAGACGAGGAATGCCATTAGCAAACTACATCGACCATGTGAACCAATTTAAATTCCCCAAACTGCTTTTGGAGGCCCTGTAGACTCTGCCTTCATGATAAAAACAGACTGGCCTTTAAGAAGGTTGCCAAGGAAACCACTAGATTGGCTTCCTGGTGCATTGTGAGCAAAACGAATTAACTGGAGCTCTTGAAAAAGGATATATTTTACTGTGATCCTGACTCTCTTCTAACGAATCTCTTGGGCTCGAGGTTCTACAGCCCATCAAGCCCACTGCAGAGCATTAGGCTTCAGGTGTCTCCTAAGACCCAGCCGCAGTCTGTCCAAGGTGGGGCAGCCTATCCTTCCCGCATTTAGAAGTAGGAGGGACTCCATTATAACCCAAAAGCTCAGAAGTCTCTGACTGTCCGCATTATTCTTACACCTGGGAAGGTACCACAGGAAGAGCGCAGACTCAAGGAGACTCAGAGAGAGAAACAGAAAAGAGACAGAGAGAGAGACCCTGGTCCAATTTTGTTCTGAGTCACGGTCACTCTCCTGGCTGGATTTAGTGGATTGATTCTTACCATAAATTCCCCTTTGGGATGAAGCGAATCTGAGTTTCCTTTCTATTTCTTGTGTTTCTAAAAATATCGGAAAGAGACAAGTCCGTGTCCACACTGCCACTACATCTGGGGTTTGAATGGTGGGTTCTGGAAGGCAGGGAGCCCCTTACCTGGATGATGTTGGGCTGGAAGGTGCTGTGCAGAGTCCTGGTTTCCACATGCTCAGGGACCAGCCCCTGGGTCCTGAGGATGTGGAGGGCGAGGCGCTCGTCAGGGGCCCCGAGGTGCTGGTGCAGGATTTTGTTGGCTTCTGGAATGGAAAGCGACACTGAGGCAGGATGGGCATCCGGGAACCGGTCAGCCAGATGGCCTGAGGGGCTTTCAGCACGGCACCCCAGACTTTTCAAAATGGACAGGCAGTGCCCGTGTGTAAACTTCGACTTGAGAAGGAACCATTGACAGAAACAGCGCCTGACCAGGAACCCTGCCCCATCCAGCTCACACCTGACTTGAAGGCTGCAGTGGCAAAGGGACCAGACACATCAGAATGTGTGAGGCAGCCCTTGTTTATTTTGTGGCTGAGGATCGCTCTCAGAGTCCCTTGCAGTTAAGTGTGGCTACGTGACTAGTCTAAACTAGAATGTAATGCAGGTGGAAGGGACATGTGTGTCACTTCCAGAACGGGCGCGTAAAACCCTCTTGTGCAGAATCATAAATATGCCTTTCTCTTCTGGATACAGAAGAAATAAGCAACCTTGACACCTGGGCTGAAGAACGGCTGGGCTGGAAGGTGGGAGGGCCTGAGTCCATGCAGCTCTGCATGGAAGAGGGCCACCAACCTGTAGGAAAACCTGCTTTGAATTTATGAGGAATACACTTTCACTGTGTGAAGCACCGAACTTTGTAAATTTGACTGTCCCAGCTGCTAGCATCACTGTGGCATTTAAATCACACAGCCCCCAAATTCTTCGACACTCCTCCCATATCTTCTCTGAGTCTGGAGACTTGTTTGACCACTAAAGAAAGGATGCTGTGTGACTTCTGAGGCTGGGCGCAAAGGGCCCCGTGGCTTCTGCCTGGTCCTGCTACGGCTCTCACTCTGTTGGATGCCATCCACCATGGAAGGAACATGGGGACCCAGGATTGCCCTATTGGATAAGCCTGAGTAGGTGCTCTGAGAAGGCGCCCCAGCTGAGCTCCTGGTCAAGAATCAGCATCAACTGCCAGCTCTGTGAGTGAGCCACCTTGGTCGAGCCTTTGGATGACTGCAGCCCCAGCTGACACCTGCCAGCAGCCAGCTGTATGAGCAACTCAAGTGAGAACTGCCTGCTTGAGCCCTTCCTGGATCCCTAAACCACAAAACTGAGCAAAACAAAATGGTTGTTTTCAGCTGCTAAGTTTTGGGGTAATTTGTCATGTAACAATAGTAACTGGACCAGTCCTTGTGCCTGACAGCTTTTGGGGGGTTACTTCTTGATTGTTTGGGGGTACTCTTTTCCACAGGGCCGTGTTGCTGGCCAGTTCATTCCCGACCCCTTTTGCAAGTTCTCATGTTAACAGCAGCATCAACATTTCTTCAATATCCAATCATCCCTAAAACTGACTAGGTCTCCTTCTTTAAGGGGAAAGGTGAAGCACAGTTTCTGTCAATGTCAGGAATAAACAGCTGGTGATCCAGAGGCGCGTTCATTCCCAGGTGTCTTTGCTCAGCTGTTTTTGGTTATCCCATGAACCTTCAAGGCCAGCCCCACTGCCACCTCCTCTGAGAAGCCCTCCCTCGTAGGTTACAATACTGAATCACACCGTAGCTCTTATGCTCTATTAAATGAAGCTCATTGCCATACTGCAGAGAGCTGTTTGTGTCAGGACAGATTGTATTAGAAGTTACTGCTTGGGAAAGAGCAAGACCCAAAGCTCAGACGTGAACCAGGTGTGAACTTAGCAGGTCCTCTGAACCAACCCCATGCATCCCTGAGCCTTCTCAGAGAAGGTCTGGAAGGATGATGTAATAAACTTGGAAGAGGAATGCTTGCTTTACCATCTGAGCACCGTGCCTCACATGGAAATTAGTCAATTACTAGAATTTCGTGTAAAAGATCGAATGGCTATGACCTAAAGAGGTCAAGTGAAACGTAAGACAGACAAGAATATGTGTCCACTTTGACACCTGACATGACAGCAAACCTCTACTATAATATAATGGGGCTTTTGTCATTGCGCCGTGTGTGGAGCCCCCTGTGGCCCAATGAGGGCACTGCTCTGCCGGAAACCCTCCCCACAGCAAACCAGCAATAGAAAGAGGTTGCTATACTATGTGACTAGCTTACAACACACTCACCAAATTCATCCAAACTGTACTCTCGTCCTCCATATCTGATTCTGCTTCCATCTTCAGAAAGGATGGGCGGTGGGAGGCCTTTGAATCTGGCCACATTTTGAAGCAGCTGTGTTGGTCTCAATTGGTCTCGCCAGGTATTCACTCCAGAACTGTGAACAACACCCCACCCCCGAGTTACTGAAGGGCACATGGTTCTTCTTGGATACACACACACACACACACACACACACACACACACACACACTTATAGGTGCCCATGTAACAAGGGAGCCAGGCATGTGTTCTACACTTTGGCTTTGCCTAGAAATCTGTTTCAAAGACCCAAAATCCTCAGTTATTTTGGGCTCAGCCAATTGATCCTCCTTCTCCCCTCAATTTCCTCCTCTGTAAGAAATGAGTTTGACGGAGACCGCCATAATTATATCAGGCAAACTCATCAACTAGAAATCACGAGCTGTATATCAATGGGAACTGTAGAAGAGCACTGGGAAAAGAGGGACATCACAAAACTGATCAGTGTGGGGAGGAAGGGTCAGGGAATCCTCGTTTTCAAAGGGCAGGGAATTCTTGCCATCACAGAACATTGCCTGCTCTCAGTGCCTGGCTTCAAGGAGGGGGGTTCAAAGAACACGAGCAAGGGGACCAGTTCCTGAGTCCCTATGCCATCCCCACAGAGCAGGCTCTATTCCGGGGCCAGCGTTTTACATAGACTCCCATGTGAGTGGCGCCCCCTGGAGGTGGGCAATGATATGGCCCCGGCTCTCCCTAAAATAATCCTACGGAGAAAAACAGTATGTGTCTGACTCAAGACAAGCGCTGAGGTAGAGAGCCAAGGCTCCCCGGGGTTAACGTTTAGATGGAGCAAACGGTCTCCTGGCACATTTATGGCCAAAGCAACTTACACACAGTACTGCTCCGGGATGCCGCAGTGGGACCCAAAGCAAGAGAGGAACCGGTTTTCCAGATCAATGATGGTCTCTCCCACCTTTTCATCACGGGTAAAGGTGTCGTAATCGTAGACGGAGATTTTCAGATCTTTTTCTTGAGGTAGGTGGCAGCTCAGTTCATACATCCTCAATAAACAAACACAAAGTGAGCCTCCCCGCGACCCGAGGCGGTCCTCTCACAAGGCTCTGCGCAGAGAACCCCAGGCAGGGCTGTGACTGCCCCGACTAGGAAAACCAGGTGTTGGGGGGTAGTGGGTGGGGGTACTCGGTAAGTAGTACATATTCCTAAAGAGAACAAGAAGATCACGGGCTTTAAATTGTGTGCCTAAGTTTAAGTTAAAATCCCAGCTCTGCTGCTTACTAGCTGGGACCCCAGGCGGATTACCTAACCTCTCTGTGCTCAGTGTTCTCATCTGTAAGATAGTGACAGTAATACCCACCATCACGGTCAAGTGAAGAAATGCTCAGGAAGCATTTGGCATGAGTGCATTGCTCAAAATGCAACAGTTATAAGAAGAATTCTTCATTATAATAGTATGAACGTCATTATCATGGGCCTAGTCACTGGGGCCCCCAGGCGTCTGCCCAACTGGGGCATTGGTAGGGCACAAGCTCCCTGGTGTACAGCCCCGAGCTGTGTCTCTGCTCCATTCCCTCTTCTGCCTGAACAGAGACCACTGCCCCATGGAACATCCTGACTCGACCCTCAGGGCCTCCCTGGGGGGCAGGAGGAGGGAGGGAGAATGCAATCTGCCAACGCAGCGTGACATGCAGAGCGCCAAGAAGGCTCCCACTCTCCTCCCAGGCCTCCTGATGCACCACCGGTCCTCACAGGCCTCTCTAGAGCATCCATTTTAAGATGCAAACCCTTCTGGGATAAAGGAAAATAACCAAACAGCAGAAGCTCCAGAAAGGCGGGGTTTGGTTCGGTATTTGTCCCATTCACAGAGGAATGGGTCCCCTAGTAAGGTGCTCAATAAATGGCAGAAAATTGTGGGAGGCCTCTCCCATCCTCTCCCGCCCTCTCTGTCTCCTTGCCCTCTAGTGTGTGGACTGGTTCCTGCCCAAAGAGCCAGGAATGTTCACAAATCCACATGAGCAGAGGGTGTGTGCCACTGGGGCTCTGGAGAAAAGCCGCCAGGGTGGCTTCTGGATAAATCCCAGACTTCTTTAGACCACTGCAGCCAGGCAGGGGCCCACAGGGGGCAGCAGCCGCACAAGAAAAGGAGCTTGGGTCACGACCACCCAGGAAGCACTGTAGCCACAAGTGCCCCAGAGCAGCTGGGTTCCAGTACTGGATCCCAAGGGACCAGCAAATAAAAGGAGAACGCCTTCTGATGGCATTCCTCTGAGCACACCAAAGGCTCTGACAAGTCCCGCAGCTATCCTTTTCAACCCAAGTGTCTTTCTTTCGGAACACACCCATTGGACACTGACATTCCATTGCCGGCATGTGAGCTGGCCATGACGTGGCCGGAATGTGCTGAATGATGGCCGAGGACAGGCGTCTTGTCTCTTCCTGAATTCCTCTCCCAGAGTCCCTGAGAGTCTTGCTGAGAGGAAAGCTACCCCCTAAGACAGGCCAGGGGCCTCAGCCGCCTGAGGGGCTGCAGAGCGGAGTCTCCTGGGCCCCACCTGGCTGGACGGGGGCGGGGGGGAGGGGGGGGGCGGTCTGCACGCACGCCAGACAGGGATTGGCCGAGCAGAGCCCGGCAGCATCACTTCCTCCCTGGGTGGCTCCGAGCAAGACTTTTCCTGCCACTTAATTAAGCTTGTGTTTGGCTCCTCTGAGAAGAGCCGTTCAGACAGGGCTGCCTTTCTCCCTGAAAAGCTGGCTCCCTCCGCTTCCCTGTCTCCCTCACACGGAGCCCTCCTTCCTGCCCTGCGTGCCTTTTCCTGTCTAGACCTCAGGGCTGGATCAGGGGGAGAAAAGGAAAACGATCATATTGCCGAGCCAGAGGATTACTTCCACTCCCTGGCCGGGCACGTGGCCTCGGGGCGTGCAGCGCAGAGGGTGTGCGCACGTGTGTGTGTGTGTGTGTGTGTGTGTGTGTGTGTGTGTGTGCGCGCGCGCCCGGGGAACCGAGTGAGTGTGAGGTCCCCTGAGGATGGGTGTGACGGGGTGTGAGCGAGGGGACAATGGTGTTCTTCTCTCCCAGAAGAGCCCATCTCGTGCCTGGATTATTTTCTTCATGACCCTTTTGACTCCCATGGAAGTCTTTTACTTGTGCATTTTCATATTTATTGTCTGCTCTAAAGACTGGAATTTTTAAAAGCCTATTGTTGAAAACATGACAGATGTCCCCTTCTTCCCCCCAATGACACCCTCCACTCTGCCCCCGCCCCATCCCCACACTCCTGTTTGGATGTTTGTCCAGTTCACCGCTGCAGGTTCAGAGCCTAGGACAGACTTTGGCACGTGTATCGCTCTTCACTTGCGTTCCAGGAGGAAAGGAAGGACCGGGAGACGTTCAGATGGGCGCCTTACCTGCCGAAAATCGGGTTGAGGGTGTTGGGTACGTAGTGGTCCCGGTCTTCGATTACTTTCTTGCCCAGCGTTATCTTTATATACGGGTCACACTGTGAGGACAAGACAGACGGTGGGTTATGTCACCGTGGGCTGCCAGGCGCTTTCTGGGACAGATGCACGTGGGCCTCCAGAGCCATCCCAAAGGCTGCGGCCCTGGGCCCCTCAGACAAGGTCTGAGCGATGTCTCCCCACGTGGCACACGGCCAGCCGCCCTCGGAGCCGGCGTGTGGGGCCGAGGCGGTGGCAGGGAGGAGTGTCAGAGCAGATCTCCTCCGAGGTCAGTCACATCGTAAGTGAGGATGAACCAGGCCGATCCAAGCCCCTCAAGCTCTTAGATAAATGCCCCTCTTGAATGCAGGTTTTGATGGAGTATCTTTCCCCCAATGAGACAACAGAAGCCCCGACAGAAAGAACGTGACAATTACTGCGGCTGATGACTGTAATTATCTGGCTACGGCAGAAGGCCCCACACCCAAACTCTACTTACCAGGCCATTGTTGTCCTGGGGCTGCAGCTCTAAGCCTCGAACAATGTAAATCCGAACCAAGCATTCCTGCGGGACGCTGTCAGGCAATTCCCGAAACTGCCTGGGAGGGGGCCGCACGCTGGGGTCATCAGGCAGCGGGTAGATTCTAAAGGAGCCCTAGAGAGAGATACGCAGGTGGACTCACAGGGCCCGGGGTGACCTGGGCACAGGGCACCTGGGCAGTGCTCCCCCCACCCCTTTCCCCCTCTCCCCCACACTCCAGGAAAGCAGCAGGGGTGTGCCAGTGGGTGAGAAAGGGCTGCCTTTTGTGAAAAAGACAACATGTATTAAAGCTTGCATTCTTCCTGAAGAAAAAGTGAAATAATGATAAAGTAATTATTTAACAGGTTACAGGGAGAAGGGCAGGGCAGAAGCAGGGAGGCCGGGTAAAAGCTGGAGGTGTTTTGGACCAGTATGATGATGATGGCAAAGGTGGTGGTCAGAAGTAAGCTTCTGCACGTATTTGCAAGAAGGAATAAAGAAATTATTTTAAACCCCCACTAAAGCACTAGACCACCTTCCCTTTTTTGGGGTCACCCCATAGACCCTCTCCCACTCCCGTTCATCCCTCAGGCCTCAGCCGAAAGGTGTTCCCTCTTCCAGGAACCCTCCCTGACTGCCCAGGGCCTGGCGTGTCTCCTGCATGCTCTCACCTTTCTCCACACTCACTCCTGCCTCAGCACCGGCTTCTGGCTTACAGTTGTCTATTTATTGTCTATATTCTTCACCATTATGCTCTCCAGGACCTAACAAGGCTGGGTGTATAGCAGCGGCACAAAGCATGGTATTTGAAAGAGTGAGCCATCAGGCCTGCTTCAGAGGCCATACTGTATATTTTATCCTGAAACCAGCTGAAGCACAATAGAAAACACCATGGATTGGGAACACATGGATTCTAGTTCCAGCTGCATTCAGTCGGCCAAGCAGCATGAAGTTAGCACCTAATATGTGCCATGTACTGGGGACCCAAAAATAACCTCAAGAAACGCAGTGTGGTAGGGGGATGCTATATCGGTTTGACTCTCCTGCCATCTCTGATTTCTCGGTGGGATGCTGTGATGAGGACCTTGAGACCATGTGCAGGGTCCAGTGCTCTGGTCGACTGGCAATGTCTGCTGCTACTGGAAAGGACTGGGAAGCTACAGCACAGCTGCCAAGGATTTGCCAACAGCCGTGGGAGGGAGGAGCAGTCATGAAAGCAGATACTTCCAAGGGAAAGGTGCTTTAACAGGGCAGGAAGGAGCCCAGGCCTGTGGAAGCCTGGAGCAGCAGTGAGTCACTCTGCCAGGAGCAATCAGGGAACACTTCACAAAGGATGGGACATTGGAGCCGGCTTAAAGGAATGAGTAGGAGTTTGTCAGACCACAAAGAGGGAAAGAAGGGCATGGAGGGAAGGAAGGGAGCCTGGCCCAAGGCTCCCAGTTGTGAACGGACAAGGTGTGTTTGGGGCTCGGGAGAGGTCCTCACGGAATGGGGGAGACAAGTGGCTAAGATGCCTGTGAAACGCTGGCTCCACCTTGGGAAGGCCTTGAGACTTGATCAGGTGGAAGACCAAACGCTCTCTCTAAGCAGTCAAGAGGCATGGTCGGGTTTGGTTGTTTGGGGGAATGGGCTGGAGTGGGACGAGAAAGGTGGCAAGGACAATCAGTTGGGGAGTTGACAGATTGGCCCTGCGGAAAGCCTGGGAGGGCGGTGGCATGGGGAGGGGCACTTGATCTTGGAGAGGCTGAATCTATAGGATTCCAGGCTGCTTGGCATGAGGAGGAAGAGAGAGACTGAGGATGGCTTTGAGAGAATGGGACATTGGAGCCGGCTTTGCCCTTTACTAGTCAGCGCCTTCTAGCATCTTTCAGATGTCAGAGGATGTGACTGTATCCAGAGGCAGGTTTTCCTTTATTCTAGGCCAGTGGTGGACAAACTCATAAGTCAACAGAGCAGCAAACCGTGGCTCACGAGCCGCATGAAGCTCGCATGCCACAGTTTGCCGACCACTGTTCCAGGCCTATAAAGAAAATAGAGGGGGTTTTAAACAGGACAAACACATTGCACTTACCTTAAACTCTCCTACCACAGAAGGGTCTTCATTGTGGTCTGATTTGCCTCGATACAGCTTGAAAGTGTTTGAGAAGTCTGTCAGGCCCTCAAATTCTGCTACATGCTCTAGTTCACAATCATATATCTGAAAAACCATCAACAGAGTCTTAACTTCTCCTTACAGGTGGAGTATAAAACAATAAAAGAAGACTGACAATAGCAAATGGGCATGAGGAAGGGGATGGAGCAATGGGAAGTCTCAGATTCCTGGCAGGAGTGTAGAAAGACACATTCACTTTGGAAAAAGGACTGCCATGTTCTTTTGGGGTTAAACAGCCACCTATTCTATAATGCAGAAATTGCAATCCTAGGTACTTATTCAAGAGAAATAAAAACAGGTCCATGTGGTACAAGAATGCCCATAGCAGCCTCATCATCAGGCTTCTCAATCTGGATAAACAAATCATGGCCATCCATATAAGGATGAAAGAGGACAAACTAACTGCACACACAACAGCATGATGGATCCCAAAGCTACTATGTTGGGCTAAAGAAGCCACACACAAAATGCATACTGTATGCATCCGTTCGCATGAAGTATAAAAACAGGCAAACTCAACCTATGGTGATGAAATCAGATCTGTTGTATCTGGGAGTGAGAAAAGGTTGTGGGAATTGACTGAAAGGGGTACAAAGGTGTTTTCCATGATGATAGGAATGTACTTTGCTTTGTTTTGGCTGTGGTTTACACAAGAGTATACAATAATCAAAACTCATGAAATGGATTACTTTCAAGTATGAAAATTATACCTTAACCAAAAAAACCCAAAAAAACAAAAACTAGAAGAGGAGGAGGATGAGGAGAAGGGATGAGGAAGAGGGAAGAAAGAAGGGGAGGAGGGAAGAAAAGAATGAAGGAAGGAAAAAGGATGGACCATGGGACTGACCGATCAGACCAGACTGAACATTTTTCTAAATTAGTGGTTCTTTACATGCCAGTATTTCTTAAGCTGCAATAAGCTGTTATGACAATATGAAAAAAATGTGCATTTTCCACTTTGATGGGGAAATACATCATTTCTCATTTTAGAGTTTCTTTCTCCTAGGTATTGTTCTGAAAAATTTCCCATGTGCTTCTACTCGAGTGTATTACAGTCTGAAAAACTGAATGAAGAATTGGAAAACCCACACATTAACAGAAAGATCATGGATGGTCAGACCTGCCTAGCTCAAGAGCTTGTCTTCTTCCCCCTGGACACATGTGCCCATGGCTGTGATTGTATGCTGAATACATGTAACAGTCAACTTATCAGCTAGTGAAGCTGATGACTGCATGCAGGACTGAAAGAAGCATGTTGACATTTCATGCGGTTCATGTGACGTGACTTTTAGGTGCCCGTGGGTCAAAGCGGACAACTGTTGACCTAATTATTGGGTAGTGTGGAGCCAACCCATTCCCAACCCTCTGCCAGCTGCCCCAGAGTGACAGTCACATAAACACAGAACATCGGCTGTCCTTAAGTTCCTGGAATCTTGGTCAAGTCAAAAGCCATTGCAAGAGGGCTCAACAGGAGGCCAGAGGTACTCCTAGCCGCTCCCGGCCAGCTTATGCCTTTGGACTTTTCTGTCTTCTGCTGAGCTATGCCTGTGGCCAGTTTTAGTGACTGTTGTTCCCCACCCACAGCCACATAGGCCCAGGTACCTTGAGTTTGGAATAGCCTTTCTGAATATAAAGTCCACATTTTTCATGTTCCCCTGTGGAAGCATAAAATTTACTCCACCAGTCAATGATTTCTTCCTCCTAAAGAAAGAGATGTCAAGATGGAAAAATCTTTAGTGATGACCAAGATTTCCAATCAGTGCAGGAAAACTCATACGTAATAGGCAATAAAAATAGATACTTCTCAACCCAAAACAGGCAAGATTACATGACTTTTGTTTACATGTACAATAGGAAAAGCATTCCTGACTCTTCTAGAAGCTGGAGGTGATAGGATCCTTGGCCAATAAAATATGTTTGGCATTACTGCCCACAGCTATACTAGATGATTTTCTTACATCCTATAGATGCAATCAATTCATTTGTCTGCTTTTACTTTTTTATCCTCTTGACTTGATAGTTGCATATACAGATAATAGGTTAAAAGAAAACCTTCAAAATAGGTTTTCTACTATTTCATTTCCTTTAGCTGGCAATGCCTTGTCGAACAAAGCTCACTAATCTAAGAGTTAGAAAAACTGGTTCTATTTCAAGTTCCATCCTTTACATTATAAGCCATATCCTTATGTCATACGCCATACCAGCTTGAGCACATCCTTTAATGACTCTGAGCATCAGTTTCTTCATCCACTGACTGGGATAATAACACTACCTGTCTCCATCTTCAGGGGTAAATAAAATCATTATTTTTGTAAATAAGATCATTCAGAGAAAGAGCTTTGCAAGTGATAAAATGAGAACAAAAGTAAGAAGGTGCTATGGTTCATTTAGAACAGGGGCTCCTTGGAGATTCTGACTCAATCAGCCTGGGAGAGACCTGGGCACCCGGGCGACTCCCATGCACAGCCATGTGGAGGGCGTCTGGTTTAGCTTGGCTGTTCTTAACTGGGCAGAAGAAACAGCACCTCGGAGTCATTTGTGGAACATTTTCAAACTGCCAAAGGCTATCGTTCATAGAAGCTGCTGTAATTCCCACAGATTTATAACAAACAGATCCTCATCACACCCACCAACTGCTTATTTTAATCTACCTATAAAAGAGTGGTGATGTCTTAAATACAGTGTCACCTGCAGCATGGTTTCCTATGCAGTCTTGGGGGAAGGAAGAAGGAACACTCGAGAAAAACTACTTTTTATCCGAGTACAGTATATGTACGTACACACACACACACACACACACACACACACACACACACAACTCAGTTATTTCCCTGTTTGGGGTCAGTAACCTACACTGCATTTAAAAAAAATTTTCTTTCTATATCAGCTATCAGCAGAAAATATAGGAATCTTAAATCTAGTACAGTCTATACAACACTTACCTTTTCTGTCAGCTGTTCGTCACATGTATGGGCAGGAAGAGGGCAGACCACACAACAGGTCACACAGACAGACATGAGACCCCATGAGCATTGGGTTGAAAGAGAAAGAGAGAAGGAGAAATTATTCTCATGCATATTTTATATCATCAACATTTTGATGGACCATTTAAATTATTCAAGATGGTCCTACTTCAACAGATCTTACTGTTGCTATTTTTTCTGAAAATGTGCAAAGGGTTATAAACAGTGTTCAAATGAGAGGCTCAGAAGGAGGCTCCACAGCCCATGGTTACAATCTCATTGTGGGCAGCGTAGTGGGCACACAGGAGGTGCTCATCTTCCTGCCCCCAGCCCCATTCCATCAGCCCCAAAGGTATACCCCCAACTCAGCCTCATTCTTATCCCTTCAAACACTCCTTTCCAAGGCATTCATGTCTAGCAGGACCCCAATATCATCCCGTGGGCACTTTTTCTTATTTTTTTCCCCCTGCACCTGTATTATAGCTCCAAATACATATTCACTCATCAAAATTGCTCCAAATGTCAAATTTCTCATTGGCCCAATCCTTCTTTTTGAGTTTCTGCATGGAGAACCCAGCCCTGATCTCGGAGCACATCCAAGAGATGAGAGAACAGGGAGATAGGATGTTGGGGCTTCCGTTTTCTCTTGGCACCTGCTGTAACGTGCCCTTGGGGGCAGGGTGAAGGATTCTTACCCAGACCCTCTCTCTGAAGCCCTAACTTCAAGTTCATATCTCTCATGTGAGGCGAGAGAAGCCCCTCCCAACAGGCGCTCCCTGCGGCTGCTGTGTGGGTGGCCACAGGGCTTCTTCCAGCTGACTTTGCTCAGCACACAGAACTGCCAAGAGAGGCAGAGGGGCAGGACAGAGGTAACACTTCTTTCTGTTAGATTTAAACCAAAGCGGGATCAAAGGTTAAAGTGTCACAGCCGAATTGAGATTTTGGAGAGAGAGATTTTTATGCCCACTTTCGAACGGTGCGTGAATTCAGATTATTAGAGTTTGTTTAATTCACTTCTATTTTTTGCTCCTCAAAATCATTTCAAAGCAGAGACCAGTTCGTGATTGAAAAGGCATTATGCAAAGCAAGCTGCTGATTTTAAAATGCAGTATTAATATGGGAGAATTTATGCATGCTGCTTGCTCATCAATTCATATAGAAAAGAAACGGAAGCAAACCACTGTTTTAGCACATCCAAACAGAAGATTCTCCCCTTCGGCTTAGAACAATTGCATTTGCTTAAAGATTGCCTTTCACTCCAAAATCTACGAATAGGAAAAATCCAAAAGGAGAATGCAGGTCTGTAGACAGAGCCCCCGCAGCCCCAGGCAGGCTCATGCATTTTCTTATCATACATACATGCACTGTCCTTGGAGGAATCATTTTGCCGAGTGCTGTTGACATGCTGCTTAAGCACTGGAATTGGAAGGCAATTGTTGAAATGCCATGTAGCAACATCCATGTTATCTGGCTAGCACTTATCAATTTGCCCTGAAGACTTACCTCTCTACTTTTCCTGTGATATTGCTGAGCCCATTGGTTAAGAGCTCCTACCGTAAATCACAGGGTTTGGGTCTCTGAGAGGGCAAGACTGCCACCGAGAGCCACAGCCTCCACCGCCGGTCAAGGGCACAGTTAGTTTTGACCCACCCCCTTGACCGACCCATATACAAGGCTTGAATTGGTTAGTGGTAGTAGATGTTACATTACACACTCATCGCATGTACATATAACTCATGCCTACCATGCATGCATGTATAGTACATGTATGCATGTACAAAGCTACATGCACATGCCATAGAGGACATCAGCAAGCTTATTAATGGCTCTTCCAAAGCTCAACTTTACTCATCTGACTGCAGAGATTTTCACGGACTTCCCTGATGAACCGGTAGAGGCAGTTTTTTAGAAGCGATTCCAACCAGCCTTTCTTATCAACACGGGTATCTCCACTGAGTGTTAGGAAAGCAAGCTGATCAAAGGCACTTATAACACAGTGGGACATTACCCACCGAGGACTGCTGCTACCACCCCCAATGGCTAGGCTGCCATTTAAATGCTATGATGTAAACTGAACTTACACAGTGTGTTGCTACAGTAACCCAGTCATCTGTTAACTATTTTTAAGAAACGAATGAGAATAATGGCACAGATTGGCTTTATTCTTCTTCTTGATCCTTCCACCCCCATACCCAGGCCCACTGAGTACACAGTGGGCATCAATAAGAACTGATTGACTGGCCGAAACCGGTTTGGCTCAGTGGTAGAGCATCGGTCTGTGGACTGTAAGGTCCCGGGTTCGATTTCGGTCAAGGGCATGTACCTTGGTTTTGGGCACATCCCCGGTAGGGGGTGTGCAAGAGGCAGCTGGTCGATGTTTCTCTCTCATCAACGTTTCTAGTTCTCTATCTCTCTCCTTTCCTCTCTGTAAAAAATCAATAAAAATATATTAAAACAAACAAACTAACAAAAAAACTGATTGACAATGGAAGGGAAAAAGGCTGGAGGCAGACTATAGAGCAGGTTCTTAAACTCCTTTTTCCCCCAGAGTGTTGTAAAAATGTTCACAAAGGATCTTAAGCCTATCATACTTAACTTCTCCCTAGGCTACTACTGTTTTATGGGGAGCGTTTGGGGTAATTTACAGAGGGAACCCAATGTGTTGCAGATTTGACACTGTCATCTGCGACGGTGGAGGAGTCTCAGGGAACAGAACCTAACACACCGCTACACAGTGCTGGCTGTGGAGATCACATTTAACATGGTCCAATTGGTGAGTTTAATGCTGTGGGGAGGAAGTGGACTTTTTTTAAGGCACTGTTTATGGACATAACACATTAAAATGCAATCATGTGCATTTTTTGGCCAGTTTGCACGTTAAAACATGCTGTGAAAGCCCATCTTAAATGCCAACAGAAACAGGGAGATATTTGATGTTTTCTTTTTTGTGGGCCAAGACCTTCCACCGCTGCCCCCCGCCCCTCCACTCCACCCCTCTCTCATACAATTGGTTGAATGGTTTTAAAATAGGATCCCGAGTGAGCATTTCCATCAATTTCTTGACTTCAAAACCACAGTGAATATAAGAATCGGGGATATCCCATACACTGACAAATAGGGCCATTAAAAATCCATGACCCTTCTGCTTCGTGTAGGGAAAAAATTGGTGTGCTACATGCATCCATCTTCCCAATGTGGTAATGCTATAAACTTGCACTTGAAATTTTTTTTTGCTAGCAAATGATGTCCCTCTGACTGCCCACACCAATGGTTCTTGGACCTGCCTGCAAATTTGAATTACTTGGGGAGATTTTAAAATATACTGATGGCTTGCCCAGCTGGTATGGCTCAGTGGTTGAGCATCAACCTATGAGGTCACAGTTCGATTCCATTCAGGGCACATGCCCGGGTGCGGCCTCGATCCCCAGTAGGGGGTGTGTAGGAGGCAGCTGGTTGATGATTCTTTCTCATCATTGATGTTTCTGTCTCTCTCTCCTTTTCTTTTCCTCTCTGAAATCAATAAAAATATTTTAAAAATACAATAAAATAAAATATAGTGATGTCTAGGTTCCTCTTGGAGGGTGGGGCCTGGGCATATTTTAAGTATCTGGGGTGACTGAGGGTAGAGGACATTAATCCACACAGAATCACCATAACTTTTGATGAGTGCAATATTCAGATTCTTTACCTTGGAAAGTTGATCATTATTATTTTAATTGCATTGAGTGCTTGTTTGACTAATTTCACCAATGCTTAGATACCTGGAAGATAAAACTGACGTTATTCAATGGCCATTTCTGAAGCCTACCTTCGAAGCCAGCAATGGTTTGGTGTTTTCTATTTCAATAATGACGTCCCGGCAGGGTGGGGTAGACATAAAGGAGGCTGCAAGACAATTTAATAATCTAAGATGCTTACAGAAATACAGTGGTGAGTCTACTTCAAGTTCAAGTTTAACAGCCAGAGTAGATGGTAGAGTTTTCTACTGGATGAGACTACTGAATGGAGAGAAGAGCATTCCAATGTAGAAAATAACCCAACAATTCATCACTTTTCCCAAAATCTGATAAGATTTTAGACATTTTTTAGGGGACTATATGGCCAGCTTTTTTTTTTTTTTTTTTTTTTTTGCCTTGGACAGTTAGCCCAGTGTCTATACACAGCATGTGCTCAAAAAAGAATTATGTCAGTACATGTCTTTCTTTAAAGGATGCAGAAGTCTAGGGGAGGGTTGGGGAAACCTACATCTAAGGGAGCCTCCTTTTCGTGAAATCTGTTCTAAGACACAGAATAGCTAAGCAGGGTGAAGAGCTGCACATGTCAGTGGCTCGGTCAGTCCCGGTTGTTGAAATATAAGCTTAGGGAAATGGCACACGCCCTGACTATATGTATTTCCAGACTATTTGTGGCTCTGGATTTGGGAGTTACAGCAAGGACTCTGGGACAGTCCCCAGGCTCACTAGGTTGGTTCAGCTAACGGTATGCCAAAGCCTCAGCCTAGGGGGAGAGCGAGAGTGAGGGTGAGGGTGAAGGTGAGGGTGAGGGTGAGAGTGAGAGCTAAGTTTATCCTTTATGGAAGAAGCATCAAGCAGTCAGACACTCAACAGGAGCCCAGAACCCAAACAGAGCCAACTCTGCCAAGCCAAAAGAACTCTCTGCACAATCCACTGGGCAACTGACAGATCGGACATAAAGGAGTGGAGGGAAGACACATTTTCTAGGTACGGACCACGTGCCAGGCAGTGGGCTAAGCTCCTCACATATAGGATCTCATTTAATCCCTCCACAATACTGTAAAACATGTACCACTGTCCCTATTGTAAAAATTAAAAAACAAACCCAGTCTAAGAGAAAGCAAACCACTTGCTTTAGGCTAAGCATTAGTGGCAAGTGGAAATAAGGCATCTAGGTCTATCTGACTCCAGTTTGTGATTTAAGCATCATACCAGGGCCCAGAGCAAACAATGAATGTCAGAGAAATGATCAGGGCGACACCAGGGTGGCAGGGCATACTGACTTTTATTGAGTATCCAGGGCACACCAGTTGCTAAGCTAGGTCATTGGGTAGCCATATGGCACCTCCAGACTTATTAGCAGTCTCTCTGCTTCCAAGATTGCTCCCCACAACCTGGACAACTGCAACAGCAAAGAATGTGACAGCTAGATGGGCAGCCACGTGGGAACACAGCTGTATACAAATTCCTTCTTACAGTGTGAGTTCTCCACTTTCCCATCCTCAAGTAAACAAAATCTCAGGAATAGGGGGAAAAAGTTATTCTATGTGCTTCCAATATTAGGCCAACCAAGCAAGTACTTCCTCAACTCTTACCCTAGCATTACTGATTTTAAGAAAGTACCAGGCGAATCTAAAATAATAGATTCCAGTCTTGGAAACATTATGCTCCCCATGCTCCTTAAAGATTTTCCTCTTTGGGGCTCTGTGAAGCACTGACCACAGTTTCTATTCATCTCATAGAATCACAACCTGGACGCCTCTGCCTGAGGCCCAGCCTATCCCTGAGCAGTAGACACAAATAAGTCCACTCAAGTGACTTGGGCCAGAGCAAGTATGCAGCATTTGTAACGATTTCTTATATTTGCATCAGAGAACTTTCTTTCATGAAAGCAGTTGGAAAAAATGCTAGGGAAATGGCTTCTCTCCATTTAGTAACCTCAGATAAAACAATGCCTGCAGTTACTTTAATCCTTTTTGTTATAAAAATGTTGCTATTTTAGGCACTGTCAATTTAGCACAAAACACTTTGCCTGGGAAATTTATGGATAAACAGGGTTTTGCTCAAGTGTGACCGTGGGTTTTATTCTTTCCTCCTCTCTGAATCAGGGGTGCAGGATGCTCAGGCCCACAGAGCAGTCGAGTTTCAGAGGCTCTGTAATTAAAACCTCTAAAAGTGGGTTTGTTGCCGAAGCCGGTTTGGCTCAGTGGTAGAGCGTCGGTCTGCGGACTGAAAGGTCCCAGGTTCGATTCCGGTCAAGGGCATGTATATTGGTTGCGGGCACATCCCCAGTAGGGGGTGTGCAAGAGGCAGCTGGTCGATGTTTCTCTCTCATTGACGTTTTCTAGTTCTCTATCTCTCTCTCCCTTCCTCTCTGTAAAAAAATCAATAAAATATATATATTTTTTAAAAATAAATAAATAAAATAAAAGTGGGTTTGTCCATACCAAACCTTATGGAAGATTAAATAAAGCTGGTTAGCGGCCAGGCCTGAGGCCACCAGTGACCAGCTGAATGAGTGCCATTCTCTGTGGGCTCTACTCTCCTGAGGCCAGGAGCCCTGGGAGTTCCTTCACTGAAGCAACCCGGTCCCCAGGCCCAACACAGTCCCTGGCACAAGGTAAGGTGAAAACAAGTCTTTACTGAATGGACAAGGGCAAAATGCTATTCATGAACTATTTATTATGGAACGCTAAGGTAAGTACCACGCCCACTCTATCACTTACTTATTAATTACCGAAGTCATTTTGGCCTAAGGTAAGTCATTTAAACTCAGCAGGTGTTATTTTTTTCTTGATGGATAACAACGAATAATACCCTTCAAAGTACATCCCAACAATGCTGGGATGCATTAATGAGGTGGGACAACAAGTCAAAAGCAGTTTAAAAGAAAAGTCCCCTCCAACTGTGCACACGAGGTGTAGAGAGGAGGGCCTTGTATTTTGCCATAAAAATATTGACCACACCAGGCCCAGGCAGCACGGATCAGTGGTTGAGCATTGACCTATGAACCAGCTGGTCGCGGCATGATTCCCAGCCTGGGTTGTAGGCTCGATCTCTTGTGTGGGGCATGCAGGAGGCAGCCTATCGATGATTCTCTCTCATCATTGATGTTTCTATCTCTCTCCCTCTTACTTCCTCTCTGAAATCAATTATATATATATATATATAGGTCCACTCAAGTGACTTGGGCCAGAGCAAGTATGCAGCATTTGTAACGAATATTCATCATACCAGACTGCAATCACCCACCTATCTTCCCTACTGGACGAGATAAAAAGTTCACGCAGCACTCAACATTTCTGACAAAGAAGTCTTCTGCTCATTCCAGAGCAGCGTCCCTCTGAAGGTGACAGCTTGAGCATTGGGTCCCCCCAAAACGAGGCCAGGATTCGCGTCTAGCTCTGCCACATACTGACTATATTATCTTGGGAAAGTTACACTGCTCGCTCTAACTCAAACTGCTTCCTCATCTGCAAATCTGGACAATGACTACTTACCTCGAGCAGGTTTGCAAAGATTAAGTCAGATCAGGCATGAAAAGTCCCATGTGCTATTTGTAGACTTCATTTTACCTTTGAGCTGTGGCACGATATCCTCCTTCCCTGCATACGGGTCACAGCGAAAGCGGTCCAGGTGGTTGATGGTGCACTGGCCGACAATGGGCTTCCGTCCAAACTGCCTGTGATCAATGACCTTGATCACCAGCGGAGGCATGTACAGTTCCTCTTTGGGCAAGAACTGGGGGTCACAGAGGTAAGCGTCACTTCTCTCTACAAGACCTGACAAGAGCAGCTTTGCCAACAAACACCTCCCAAAGGATCAACCCAGGATCTTTTTGTCTGTTTGGCACAGCCCGGGGGACTCACAGTTAAGTAGCCCAGCAACTGGCATGCGAGGCAAGCAGTACACGCCTGAAGGCATGAACTCTGAGCCAGACCACCTGGGACGGGCAGGATCCTGGCTCTGCCACTAGGAGCCGCATGACCTCAGGGAACTTTCTCTGCCCCAATTATCTTCTCAATAACAGTAGGGTTGTTGAGTTAATACATGTGAAGTGCCCAGAATAGTACCTTAGTACCTGGCTCTGCTCTGTGACAGGATGTGGAGTTAGCATTTAGTTGGAATTTAAAAATGCTCACACTCAAAGGGGACCTTCAAGGGAAATAACTGTGGCTTGGGAATTTTTTAGCCCTGGAAGTTCAGTGCCAAAATGGGATGCTCATTTTTCCTCAATGCCTCTTGGTTCCTCCATGTGGAATCTGGTGGCCTTGGTGACGCTGTCTGATTTGGGAAGCATTGCTGGTCTCAGGTGAATTTCCACCTCTGAGCTTGCAGAGGGACAGGAGAAGCTGGGCTCACCTTTGCCGCCCAAGGCTAAATTCCAGGCTAGAACTTGGGGTGGCGGGTAGGGCGGGGCTGGGGAGTGGACACGGATGGTTGGAGCGGCCTGGCAGCGATAACTTCGGGATTTTGGCTTGGAGCACCAGGTGGTTCTCCATTGCACCATTGTCGGGGAAGATCATGGGCTTTGGTGTTGGAGGGACCTGAGTCCAAACTCTAGCCACCCGCTTGCTAGCTGTGTAAGCCACCTAACCTCTCAGTTTCCCCCAAAGTGAGCGTAAGAGGAGAAAAATGCTGCTCTCTAAAGGGTCAGTTTTGGACTGCTGCTGTAGTCCTGCCACTCACTGCGGGGACGTGGGTAAGACATTTCCCCTCTCTCCGCCTCAGCCTCCTCCTCTATAAAAGGGGAAGTTAATCCACAGCACCCTAGAGTTCAAGAGCCGGGTGTTGGAGACACCAAATGACGGGGCTGGGGAAAGGATCAGGAAGGTTCTGGACTTTCTACCCCGTCAAACTGAAGTGCCTTTATTTTTTATCTCTTTTCATATAGCAGAGTGAAACAGAACGATTCTTCTCTTTAAAAAGTGAAGGATTGTGGAAGGACAAAGTGACCTCATTTCCTTCCAAACTAGTCTGCGTCTATGATGGAAGACCGTGAACCAGAGCTGATGCTGCCACATTTCCAATAACCAGAGGGTAACTCTGACTCAACAAAGTAGATGTCATCGCAGGGGTGCCCGGAGGTGGGGCCCAGGCCCAGGCTGTTCGGATGTGGCCCCATTTCCTCATGTGGGTTCCACCCTGACTGTTCCTCCCCAGTCAGCCAGCCCCTATGTAGTGGGTTCTGGTCCCTGTGCACCTGCCGGGCCACAAGGGAGGGTTAACTTTCCGCCCTCAGGGCATTGGGCAAGGGCTTATCACAGTAGAAGAGATGGAAAGTTTCCTGGAGAAATACATCAGTATCGCTCATAGATAGTTCTGTCTCACTGGGGTTGTCTGAAACCTTAAGAAGCCATCACGACAGTGTAAGAGTGTAAGGGGGAAGAGGCACTGCCCAGTGACTCCAACGCAGTTTTTCTACTTGCTGTCAGACTTTGGAAATATATAAACTACATGTAGGTGAGCGGTGTCAATATATTTCATATTTCAAATAAAATCCAGCTACTCAGCACACACGAATGATTACAGTCTTGATACTGTACCACTTTCATGAAGAGAACGGAACCCGGAAAGTTGGGTGTCTTCTTAAGGTTTTTGATGACCACGGACTCTACCCTCTCCCCTCCACACTCCACAATGAGACTCGGGGATGTGATAGAAGCCATCTGGTAGTTTTTCATATTTCTTAAGCCCCAAGCTAGAATCTAAGAAAAACAATGTAAAGAGAAGGGAAGGCAACCCAGCATATTCAACATAATATTCAAAGGGAAAAATTTTCTCTTCATACTCAGTCAATTCTTTAAGGATGGCTTGTGAGGATTTGCTAAAAATCTCTTGAGAACATCATCCTAGAAAGCCTGCAGGCCATGCAACGGAGGCGGGCCTGCCACTCCTTCTCCTGCTGAGCTGCTGAAATAGCAGAGCAGTTGAGTGCACGAATCAAATCCTGGCTGTGCCACAGAACAGGAGGTGAACTCTGGCAAGTTGGTTAACCACTCTGGGTCCCATCTATAAACAGGACTGATAGTTTTATTTCTCCTAAGGTTATTTGAGGATCAAGTGTAAACTTCTTAACAGTGTCTGACATGCAAGCATTCAAAAATGACAGGTGTTGCTTAAAGCCATCTGCCTCAATCTTTGAGAACAAGAGCATGACAGCTTAAGGATAGAAATCCCAAAGTGCCTGCTGCTTGACTAACAAGGCCCCCAGAGTAGGCCAGACCCTGTCCATCGAACTACCCACTTGGCTCCATTGGCCTGTGTCTGCTCCATTGTCTGACATCTCACCATTTCCAATACTCCCTTCCCACTCTCCATCTCCACCTCCCTCTGTGGTCCCTTCCCCCCGTCTCTCTGTACACACAGGCATGCTGTTTTGAGTCTGTTTTTTCTCTCCCAGTTCTTTAGTTGACCCGGGAAACTCAGAAATCTATTGACTCATAGTAAATGAGAACTCGAAAATCCTCAGTAATGCTAGAATTGACTGCTCCTGTTGCTCTGACAAGTCTTCTATTTCCATGAATATTTCAAAATTTGAGGCAAATCTATAATAATAGAAACATAATATGCTAATTAGACTGGATGCCCTTTTGGATGTCCTTCCAGACAAACCTAGGACTGCGAGGGAAGCCCAGGTCCTGGGTGTCAGGGGGAAGCCAGTGCTGGCAGCCAGGGGAGGGAAGGTCTACTCTTGCATGAATTTTGTGCACTGAGCCTCTAGTTCTATAATAAATTGGAGACAGCAAGATCCCATTTCCTCTATGAAAGATTCACTACAGCCATATCCATTTGATTTGATCCCAAGTCACAGAGAGCAGCGTACCTCAATAGCAGTGAGCTGAACCACAGGCCGGATCCCCTGGGGGACCATGTATAGATTCGGTGCCCTTTGTGAGGGAAGAATGGGAAGGTTGGAGCCACCCTGTGAAACAAAGATGCAAATGTCAATACCGCCTGTTAGTTCAAGTAAACAGTGCCTGGAGTTGTGAACAGAATTTTAAGCAGCTACTCTGAAAGCATGTGTGAGTGAGGACTCGGCAAGTACCTTCTGTCTCAGAATCAGCTCTGCAGTTACAAGGACGTCCCCGCAAGCCTTGTCCCCATTCATTACTGGGTACCAGAGAAGCTTGGGCGCGATGTCCATTTCTGAGTTTAGTTTCACCAGAGGAGAGCACATGCTTCGTCCTAAAAATTCATCTTTGCCCTAGAGAAACAAACAATCCTTTAATTCCCCAAACAACACCCCTACACATCTCCATCAATCCCCAGAGCCATCTTAGAAATTTTAATTTACCTACCATTTTATCACTGTCAAAAAGTTCGATGACAACTTTGGGTGGGCTCTGTAGGACTGTTTGGGGTTCCCCACAGATTTCAATTTCATCAAATATAATGGTTTGATCCCATGTGGGATTCAGAGTACAGTGGATGATCTCCGTGGTTTTACTTCGATGGAGGAAGGAAACATGAGCATATGGGTCTAAAACAGAAAAAGAGAGTAATAGTGGGGTCATGGGCAAAGTCTGAAATCATAAAACTCCTAGAAGAAAACATTGGCTTGGCAACGATTTTTTTTAAAAGTTTGACACCAGCCGAAACCGGTTTGGCTCAGTGGATGGAGCGTCAGTCTGCGGACTAAAGGGTTCCAGGTTCGATTCCGGTCAAGGGCATGTACCTTGGTTGCAGGCACATCCCCGGTAGGGGGTGTGTGGGAGGCAGCTGGTCGATGTTACTCTCTCATCGACGTTTCTAGCTCTCTGTCTCTCTCCCTTCCTCTCTGTAAAAAATCAATAAAATATATTTTTTTTAAAAAAGTTTGACACCAAAGCAAAGGCAACAAAAGCAAAAATAAATAACTGGGACTAGATCAAACCAAAAAGCTTCTGCATAGCAAAGAAACCATCAGCAAAACGAAAAGGCAACCTGTGGATGAAGGGATAAAGATAATGTGGAACAGCCGGGACCGGTTTGGCTCAATGGATAGAGCGTCGGCTTGGGGACTGAAGGGTCCCGGGTTCGATTCCGGTCAGGGGCATGTACCTTGGTTGCAGGCATATCCCCAGTAGAGGGTGTGCAAGAGGCAGCTGATCGATGACTCTCTCTCATCGATGTTTCTAACTCTCTATCTCTCTCCCTTCCTCTCTGTACAAAATCAATAAAATATATTTAAAAATAAAATAAAATAAAAAAATAAAAAAATAAAAAGAAATAAAAAAAAGATAATGTGGGACATTTATAGATATGGATACATATACATAAACAATGGGATATAATTCAGCTTTTAATAAGCAGTAAATCCTGCCATTTGTGACAATATGGATGAGGGTATTATGTTAAGTGAAGTAAGCCAGACAGAGAGAGAAAAATATTATACGGTATTACTTATATGTGGAATCTCCCACAAAAAGTCAAACTCATGGGAAAAAGAGAATAGAATGGAGGTTGCCAGGGGCTGGATGGAGGGGGAAGTGGGAGATATTAGTAAAAGGGTACACATTTTAGTTATGAGATGAATAAGGTCTGAGGATTTCATGTATAACATGGTGACTATCTATAATAATAAGAGCATAATATGCTAATTAGACCATACAGCAAAAAGACCTTCTAGACATCCTTCCAGATGAAGCCATGGTGTCAGGGTCGAGACAGAGGCAGCCACTGTGATGGACCGAGGCAGTTAGGGGCAATCAGGCAGGCAGGTGAGCAGTTAGGGGTGATCAGGCAGAAAGGCAAGTGGTTAGGGGGGATCAGGCAGGCAGGCAGAGTGGTTAGGAGCCAGTGGTCCCGGATTGAGGGATATCCAACTGCCAGTCTAGGGATTACTGTGGGATCAGTCCTAAATTGGCAGTTGGACATCCCCAAAGCAGTCCCAGATTGCGAGAGGATATAGGCCAGGCTGAAGGACACCTCCCACCCCAACCTCCAGTGAATGAATTTTGTGCACTGGGCCTCTAGTAGATGAAAACACTGCACTGTATAATTGAAATTTGCTGGGAGAGTACAATTTAAGTGTTCTCATACACACAGACACACAAAAGGTAAATATGTGAGGTCATGGACATGCTAACTCAATTGTGGGAATCCTTTCACAATGTATATGTATATCATATTGTACATATTAAGTCTAACTTTTTCAATTACACCTCAATAAAGATGAAAAATGATAAGAAAAAAAATCCATTTATTCTCCACTCTAATTTCACAAAAACTTTTTGTATTTGCATAGAACAGATCTATCTGAGCATAAGCTAGTCTCTAAACTAAAGCTGTTTCACACGAGCCAAAAAGAGTACTTGGTTTTTAGCATTGTAGCATCATATGGATGTGACTCTGATTTTGCTAAACTGCAAGAGTTTTATGCAACTTCAGTTTAGAATTTTGACAGGATTCTAACTTTGACTTTCAATGTTTGAGTGCCCCCTGCTGGTGAATATTTGGAAATGTCTTCAAAAGCCATTTTGGAGATGTGGATTATGGGCATAACTTTGAATGTGCTCTAATTTGTAAGAAAAGGAAATCATTTATATATGCTTGGAAGACACCTCACATTGATGTGAGCTGCCAGAGTGTCAGGCACCTGCTATAAGGCCCCGGCGAGCTCTGCCAGCCTTCGGGTTCTGAAGTGGAATTCAACAGCACAAACTCCTGGATGGCCGGACTCCTGACCTTCCCCCTCCTCCTCCTCACCCAGCCTTCTCCTCAGAACCAATCCAAAGGCGACAAATGAGCTGAGCTGTCAGCGTGAACCTTCATGGTCGTGTCAATGTGGAAATGCGTTTTGCTGTTGTTAGAAATAATTGGAAGCATCCGCTTGGAGAAAAGTGGAATGGAGCTAGCCTGCTATGGAACGAGGTGTGAGAGGGAGGGTTTCTCCCTTTACCTGAAAAGCTGTCCTTGTCTAACGGCATGAGGTTCCTGGCTTGGTAGATGTAGCAGCGCAGATGGTACATGTAGGTTCCTAAAAGGAATGGGATGGAGGTTACTTACGAGCAACGTCATATTGCACACTACAATGTCCCTGAAATATCTGGAGATGATAGCATGTTTCAGATAAATGGGTCACCCAAATCTATTTCTACCAAGTAATGGACACATATATGGCAGTTCTGTTTCCGGTAGACGGAAACATTTAAAATACCACAGGAAGCTTGTTGCAAATGCTTCCATCAGGAGACCATTCATGACTCCTGGTGTCGGCTGCCTGGATTCGGGGCACAGCTTGTCATCATCGACCTTTGAGAGGGGACCAAGTCTCCAGGAGTTACAGAAATAGGACTTCCTATACTATTTTGGCACCAGATCTAGGAAATAGTTGTTTGTTCAAAATATTTATATTCTTTATCCTTATTTATATTAATACATATACATCCCCACCCCACTCAACATGCTCCCCACCATCATACCTCCCCACACACACATAATTTGAGGATAGTAGAGCATTGTGATTCCCTGCACAGATTCTAGACTACATGAGCTAAAATCTTGTCTCTATTGCTTACAAGCTGTTAAGACCTCAGTCAAGTTATTTATCTTTCTGCACCTCAGCTTTGCTCACCTGTAAAATGGGAACAATAATAGGCCCTAACAATGTTCAGTGCCTGGACATATATTACTTATATAACAATTTGCTATTATTACAAAGTGGGTCTGCCTCATTCTGAAATTCCTGAAGGTTATCATGGAAAACAACTTTTACTTAACTATTTGAGTATTTTTTTCTCTCTCATTATGATCATCTTTTGGGGGGCTTAATAGACAGGATGAGTACAGAGTATATTGAACAGAGTATGTTAAAAATTAATAATGTGACCACTTTCTACCCCAAATATGATTTTAAAGCTGCTTTTTAAAAATCCTCTTCCTAGCCCTAACCGATTTTGTTCAGTGGATAGAGCATCAGCCTGCGTACTCAAGGGTCCCAGGTTCGATTCTGGTCAAGGGCATGTACCTTGGTTGCGGGCACATCCCCATAGGGGGTATTCAGGAGGCAGCTGATTGATGTTTCTCTCTCATTGATGTTTCTACCTCTCTCTCCCTCTCCCTTCCTCTCTGTAAAAAAAATCAATAAAATATATTAAACATATATATTTTTTTAAATCCTCTTCCTCAATTGATGAAAATGAAAGTACATTTTTATTATATTTGTGATTTGAAGAGTCTTCTTGAGATAAAAATTTTACTACGGGAATGCATGAATACACGCCATAGACTTACTGTCAAAGTCACAGGAAACGATGGGAGTATTGGCCCCAAACACAGAGGTGGCGCTGTGCTTCTGCTTTCCTGCGCTTTTTTCATCTTCGTCCTCAGTCGTGTCTGCGCCCTGAGGAGGCAGAAAAGCAATGAGCCATGCCTACAACTGAAGAGGCGAGAATCACCAACAAATGGAAGAGTGGTTATTAAAACAGAGATTTCTCATCCAATCGCGTTATTTTTAGAGATGAACACAGCCCAGAACAGTAAGCAACGGCCACTTTGCTGGGAAGAGCAGGAAAGTGAAGCCAGGCCTTCTACCCCATGTCCAGGCTTATCACACCCTGCCACTGAGAGAAAAAGAGGAAAGAAAAAGTGTAAAGGATAAATGAGGGGATTAAAAGGATGCGAGGAGGAAGAGAAAGAACATCGGGAGAGGAACACAGCTGGTCAGCATGCCAAAACATAAGAAAAGGCTGTTTCTGATCACCACATTGGTGCAGATCAACCACCACCATTTTACTAATCACTCCTTCCATCTTTCTGCTTTTTCCCTCAGTGCTGCCTCCTCCTCCTCCTCCTTTTTTTTTTTTTTTTTTTTTTTTTTTTTTTTTTTTTTTTACTATATTTTTATTAATTTCAGAGAGGAAGGGAGAGGGAGAGAGAAATAGAAACATCAACGATTAGAGAGAATTGCTGATCAGCTGTCTCCTGCACGTTCCCTGTTTGGGATCAAGCCTAGTGCCCTAGACCAGAATCAAACCCAGGACCCTTCAGTCCGCAGTCTGACACTCTATCCCATTGAGCCAAATGAGCTAGGGTGTTCCTCGCTGCCTTCTTTATTGTGCTTCCATATGAATTATCCTCTAATTCTGTCAGCCATCCTTCTGTCCTTCCTCCCCTCACCCCCATATCTGTATATTTAACTTCCTCAGTTTGAACAGTTGTAGTTTACAAGCCATGATCCAAGACCCTGCGCCTTGGGTGTTAATAGATTGCCTGCAACAAGGGTTTGGGAACAGATATATTTGGAAAATGTTAGGTGAAGCAACATTAAATAGGTGTGTCTACAGCAGGACTTCTCAGCACTTTTGGGTGTTAATGGTGCATTCATTCTACAAAAATGACCGAGCACATAAGATGTGGAGCTTTCTCTCAAATTATATGCAGTCTTGCAGTCCTGGAGGAATCTCTGTGAAATCAGTGGTATTGTCTCCAACATTCAGATATTCTTCCTCGACCCATGTTAGATGAAGTTTGGTTACTGATTACTTACCAGGGCACCTTCCAGTTTAAAGATGGCCGCTGCACCGAGTGTTTCTGAAGGAGCCATTTTTCTCCTCCAGCGTCTGCGGCGAAAGGTATCTGAGCTGCGTTGTTTCCAGTGAAATTTCCAGCCAATTAGAGAAGCATATTCCCAGCCCTCCTGGTCTTCAAATTCTTTCATGGCCTGAAACAGAAGTTAAAAGTTTTCATGATGGTCATCGTGATCATGACCATCATCCTTATATTGATAAAGCAAACTATTTGGTTAACCAATAAATAGGTGTTGGAAATCATCTCTGTGCCAAGCACTGTGCTAGGAGCCAGGCACAAACAAACAACAAAACAGACAGGCTAGACTGTCTGCCCTTGCAGAGCTGATAGGCTAGTAGAATATAGAGATAACCAGACAATCCCCATGGAATGAGATGTTACCAAGGTGGTGGCTGTACTATCAGTAGAAGCATCTTATTAAGACTTGGTGGGTGGGTGGGTAAAGCAAATCGACTCTTTCTGAAGTTTCTTTCTTTGTCTTCACTTCATTAGCTCATAAGAGAACCTGCTATTGTGATATATTATTATTAATCTATCACATTATTAACACCATTTTATATGTGGAGGATAAAATGATACCATCTTCCCCAGGGTTTAAATATCTTGTTTAAGCTAATAGTTGCCACAATTACTAATTACACGAATATCAGGGTATATTACTCCTGCAATAATTAACAACTGAGTATAGTATTTTTTATCTTAAAACTATTTACCTATAAATGATCTCAGTTTTTAATATTCGACTCAATTCCCTCAACAAATATGAGTGCCTAGATGTGTCAGGGACTGTGCCAAGAGCTGAGGAAGCAACGATGAGAAAGGCAGAAAGGGTCCTTGCCTACATGTAGCTGACATTTTAGTGGTGGGAATTTTATGTAAACATCTAAAAAGTCTGGGTAGATTCAATAAGTGTAGAATACTACTGAGTAACATTGGATTGTAGAGATACTAGTAAGAACTCCATGTGGGTTAATATCATTGTAGGGGCTATTTTTTCAACTTTGAATGAACAGAAAATTCAGGTCAAGCACAATCTTGTAATTGGCCCTCTAGTTGTGTTAACAGTAGCACTGAAATAGTTTATGTAGCCAGGAGTGAAGCAGATTAGGGAACATGACTGAAATCTCCACAAGACCCTGGCAGAACAGGGTCAAGTTTCCAGTCCTCTGACTGCTGGCTCAGTGTTCTTTCCTCATCACCTTGGTGCTCTCACAGGGAAGAAGGACATCAAATGCCTGTAGAAATTTCTCACCCCATTAGGATAGAGATAACCAAACAACAAATATTCATTGATCAGCTCATTCAATTTATCCCATCATTTATTAGGAACAAGTTCCTGAGCTGGCAAGTAGGATACAAAGATGACTATGGATCCATCTTTGTGCCTAAGAAGCTCACCATCTAATAAAAAGTAACTTCATTCATTATATCTACTGTGTGAGTCAGGAACTTTGTGGGACAGAAAGGGGTTCAAACACCAGTTGTATTGGTTACTAGACATGTGACCTAGAGCAAGTCTATTTAATCTCTGTGAAATGGGGATAAAATGTTAACTTTGTGGATGGTAGATAATGCCTGTTCAGTATCTAGCCTTATTAAAGACATACAAAATGTGCTACTTGTTACTGTTACTAAAGGCCCGGTGCACGAGATTTGTGCACTTGGGGGAGGAGGTCCGTCAACAGGCCTGCACCCTCTCGCAGTCAGGGACCCCTCGCTCCTTACTGCTTTCCTGCAGTGGAGGTGGGAGAGGCTCCTGCCAAGGCTACTGCACTCACCAGCTGTGAGCCCAGCTTCTGGCTGAGTGGTACTCCCCTTGTGGGATCACACTGACCACCAGGGGGGCAGCTCTTGCATTGAGCACCTGCCCCCTGGTGGTCAGTGTATGTCACAGCGACTGGTTGTTGGATATTATGCTTTTATTATATAGATTATGTAGGATTAGTATTATTGTTCCACTTTATTATTATTCCATTTAAGCCCTACCATTCCCTAATTTGCAGCATGATGTGATACCCATTTTGCAGATGAGAAACAAAATGAAGCCAGGATTTGAATCTTTATGCCACTTATTCCAAGTCCTGAGCTATTGCCAATATTCCATTATGCTACCAAATAATTTCTGTTTCTGGTACTACTACCTCTTGAGTGGTTCGCAATATTTAGCCTGTCTCTGAATCACTTTGTTGCTTGGCTCCACCCTCAGAGTTTCTAAATTAGTAGGGCACCTCTGACAAATTCCTGGGTGATGCTGTTGTTGCTGATCAATTGGGGTGAGGAGCACCCTGAGAACCCTGGAGCAAGGTAGCAGGCCCTGATGGCAAATGGCTTCTGTAGAACAAGCTAAGTGGACTTCTGTGTGGTCTGCAAGGCAGAGCCCAGCCCAGATCCCTTCCACTGGCCCTCTTACCTTTGCAGTACTGGCAGTGGACTGTGTTGAATCTTTCTTGCGTTTTCGGACCAGCCTTCGTCGTCTATGAGTATGATACATTTTCTCTGCAGCAACCCAGGACTTGGGCTTATTATCGGGAGGAATAGTAATTCCATACTCCCAGCCTGTAACAGAGAGTGTGAATGGTTATCGAGAGGCAACACACTTGTCAGATCACCAAGTAAACTTCCAGGAGATATTCAGTCATTCTCTCTGCCCCTAAATATTCTCTACCATCATGACTGAATGCCACTGCTCCTTTCAAACTGTATATAGCATTATTCCCCTGGCTCCCTCTTCCTCGGTGGCCATGGGCTCCCCTCCACTTTTTTAACTCCATTCATTCATGGTAATTGACTGAATCTAAGAATAAAGCACAGTACAAGAGGCAGAAGCAGGTGGTGGTTAAAAGCATGTGGTCTGTGCGGTCACACAGTTTGAGTTCAAATCCCAGCATCCCTACTTGCCAGGCAGTGTATTAAAAAAAAAGTTTCTTGCAAGTAAGCAAACCTGCCTAGGGTCTAATTTCTCCAGTATCATGGCAAAATACACAATTTTAGAATAGAATTAATCAATATAAAGCATGCAAAGCATGAGAACTGTGCTCAGCCCATAGGTTGTGCTCAGTTAATGTTAACTATTATTACAACGCCCATGCACGTATCATACTTTTCAAATCTATTTGAAAGCTAGGTGTTTCTGGGTACTACTCCATCTTGCAAGAAAAAAAAAATCAGTGTTTTCTCTTTTGATAATTCCAAATGTTACAGTTTCATTTAAACTTTAGATCACTGTTCATAGAAAAAGATACACACCATTAGCAGAGGCTACCTCAGTAATCTGCATTATTGTTGAATAGGACTTCGAAGGTAATTTGTAGTCTCCAGAGAGGGAACGGGGTGTGGTTAGAATAGAGAAAATATCTCATTACAGATCCCCCCGGCATCCCAAAGTCCAGGCACCTGGGCCCCTTACCTCACATTTTTACTCTTGACAGTCCCCCACCCTGCACCTGTCCAAGCACTAGCTTGTCCTTCAGATTTGGCATCTGAACAGTCACAAGTAAAACTACATGACTGGTTGTCACAGGCAAACCAGCAGGGGTAAGACCCCTCCCTCCAAAGGAAACTTTACTCTGGCTAACCAGGGCCAGGCTAGTCAGAAATGAAACTAACATCTTACCTTTCTCTACTAGGCTTATTGGGGTGATCATTTCATAAGGTATATATAAACATGTCTAATCACTTTCTTGTACACCTGAAACTATTGTCAACTGAAATAAAATTTTTTTTAAATTAAAATAAAATGTTACCTTTCTCATCCACTGCACGATTTATGTCATATTCCCATGCATCGTCTTCCCACCTCCAACCTGGGGGGCACATGAGCTCACTGGGTGATGCTGCTTTGTCACCGTTCTTTAAAAAAAAAAAAAAAAAAAAAATGAAGACTTAAAGACTTACAACTAAGCCATAATGTCATCTAAGACGCAAAGATGAGATCTAATTCCTCACATGTAACTATGGAATTCACATGGTAACTGAGATAGCAGCTTAGACATGAGTCTTACTCAGAAAAAAATCTCTAATTTTTATTTAGATATAATTACTATATGAAAATTAGTTTAAAAAAGAGAACAATCTCTGTTTCCACCATTAGGGAATATGTTAGGTTGAACCATGGGAAATTGTTTTTGCATGTCAAAATGGTGAAATATCAGCAGTTTCATATGGTTCAATTTAATATTACAAAATGGTGTGACTCTTTTTATGAGGGGTTATATTGGAAAGAAACCATCAGAAATGGGTAAGGCATGAAAAACACATGTCTTCAAGTATGGGATAATGGTGCTGGAGGTTGTAGATAATAATCATGTATGATTGAAGAAAGTTTATTTTAAATAGTTACTTCAGTTCTGCACAAAAACTGATGGGGTGTTATGGGGGGGGAAGCTCATAGTAAAAAGAAGTAAAGGGGGAGGTCTGTAAACATATGGAGAAATACTCAGTTTTACTTTAAATTAAGAATGTGAAAATTAATATAGCAACAAGATACTAGTTTTTCAAGTATGGTCAAAGATGTTAAAATGGGATGGTATGTGTTTAGAAAACAGTCCTCTAATATGCAGCTGCTGGGAATATAAATTTATACAACCTCTTTGAAAGCAGTCTGGCAATATTTATCAAAACTTTATGTGCATCAAAACCTTGACCAAGCCCCTCTAGGGATGTCCCCTACAGATGAACTCCACAAGGGAATAACAATGTATGTCTAAGGACATTCACTGGCTCATCACTTATAAATGCCAAGAATTGAAAAAACACCAAATGTCCACGAAAAGAGTGCAAATTAAATTATATTGGGTGCCTATACCAAAACACTGCAGGCATTTTTCCAAAAGCTCATTAGAGCAAGGTGATTGTGTGGATCTATTGCAACTCATTTCTTTAATTTGTAATAAAACACTTACTAAAGAGTCCAAAATCAAGACTCCAAAATCTGATAAGAGCAAACCTAGATTTTAAAGAGAAAATGTCTTTCTTGGGGGGGGGGGGTCCATAAATATTTCAAGTCTACTTTTACAACCATCTTTTCTCCGATAAAGGCTAATATACAGAAAATAAAGCGTTTCATCAGAACAGCATTGGGTCTGGCAAAAAAAAAAAATGTACAACAGATCTATAAGTATTAATATCAAAAGCTGTCCAAGATATATTGTTATGTGAAAATTACAAGTTGTAGAACTGTGCATACAATTCTATTTCAGTGGGGAGAAAAGTTATATACTCGTGTACGAACAGAAAACTATGAATGGTTATCTCTGGGGAGTGAAATGTGGATCATGAAGAGGAACTATTTTTCATTTCCTTTTATGCTGTTTGAATAGTTTAAAAACATAAGCCTTCAATTTGTAAATCTTTTTAAAACTATTCCAAAAATAAATAAACATTTACAATTTTAAAAGTTGCAAAGCCTTTACCACATAGGCCAACGTCTTTTCTGCAGAAAATCACTATAGGTCGCTTGTGTGATGAATGCAAGGCTGTTCAGACGAGACGGAGCAGGAGGAGGGGAGACCACGCCTGTGGTTAGTGGATTCACGGACCGGGGGCCCAACCAGCTAACGTGTAAGGCTCTACCTCGGGAGCACGCCACTCACCGTGTCTGTGTAGGGGTCTTCGGCCGGCTTCCACTCGCCCCCGGGGTAGCGACTCTCATTCTGATATACTTCATCCGTGAACTCCGTGTGACCCGCATCGGCCTCAGTCAGCAAGCTGTGGGCGAGGCTGGTGTTAACAAGGGAGAAATGGCAACTGACAACCCCCAACTCTCTCCACTGGTCCAGAACCATCCACAGCCTGGATGGTCCCGGTTCCCTCCTCCTCACTCTGGCCCTGTGGGTGCTCCCCGCAAAGCTCCTCTTTGTCCTAATAGCTTTTGAAGGGGCCCATTAGAACAATGAGGCCTAAATTACAGGGAACTCCTCAGACGAGCAGGGTTGCTGCTTCGCAGTAGGTAGGGTGCGGACTGGGGAAAAGGATTGTGGGCAGCATCTTATAGGGACCTCCTAGTCCATATATCTGTTTCAGTTTAGGGCTGTTCGAGATTTTTCTCAGCAAAACTCTTGGCTATCAGTTCAAAAGAATAGGCAGTCATTCTTCCTCATTCACCCTATTTTAAAAAATGGAGTGAGAACATAAGTGAGAATGTCACTGGCACATCACTTATAAATGCCAAGACTTGAAAAAACTAAATGTCCACAAAAAGAGTGCAAATTAAATTATTAAATGGGGCCCAGCGTGGAAATTCTTACTCATGGCTTGCTCCGTCTTAAATGGAGTTTAGGTTTTCTGGATAGTTGCTAGGCTAGGCAGCCAAACCAGGTCATTTAAGACTCCAAACTCCATCTGGGCCCTTGGGAAATCTATACTGACTCTCTGCCATGCCAATTTTCCTCTTGGATATGAAACTATGTTGACAATCCATAGAGGAAAGTACAGAGGCTCCAACTTCGACTTAAATCTTCTGCCAGGTGTTCACTCAAGTGAGGTTTCTTTTTCCTTTACCGGTGCTACCTCTTTTCCCTGCTGTATTCTCCCCTAGAATCCAGCACTGGAAAGAAATCAGAACACACAGAGTCCCAACCCATTTGTATAAATTGGGCTCATCCATCACTTTCCTGGGCTCCAGAGAAGGAGGAGACCCCGTAGCTGTCTGTGAGGTCCCATTCAGCCCTGACAGCCTTTTACCTTCTGCTTTTTCAATCACAATGCCCCCTGCCTTTCCCTGTCCTCACTAACCTTTCTCCCTTCTGTCCAATTCAAATCTCATTTCCCTTCCCCTTACTAGCAACCCAAACTCCGTCCAAAGTAAGCCGCCACAGGTTAAAAGCAATCATGTGCAAACACTGGGTCTTAACAGAACAGACCCAGCACACCCATTTCCCTCCTTCCTCAATGCCTATGTGATTACAAGAAACAAATGTGGGCAGAGATCACAAACTAGTTTGAGGTCTTAAAATCCAAGTTCACAAGCTTGGTTCCTCCACACTCAAGCGCACCATCATGAAGTGGGAGAAGAGGGACCTCCAGTCCTGGTGCCGTAGGCAAAACACATAAGCCAAACTCCAGGGAAAACATGCTTGCTACTCTCTGCTGTTTGTTTTTTTTTTGTTTTTCGTTTTTCATTTCCCCCCTTTTTAATAATAGCTTTTGAGATACAATTTACACACCATACAATTCACCCATTTTAAGTGTTTCCTCTACTGTTTCTTACAAATATTCCAGCATAATAGCTGAGTGCCAGTTTTAGTGCCCAGACTAGACTTGTAACACTCATAACCTGTGAGCCTTTGATAAGTTAATTATTCTCTCTAGGTATTGGTTTCTTCATCTGTAAAGTGGAGCTAATATTATTATTTGTTGTGACATAAATCTCTGTGTGTCTTTTACATTTCTGCACACAGGACTCTTAACTTTTGTGACAGACTGTCTTTTCAAGGATGTTTACATGGGAAACAAATTTGGAAGACAGAGAGGATATTTCTTTATGGAGCAAAGAGCCAGCATGCTTTTCACCCACCATAAAATATTTGAGTTCCCTAAACTCAAGGTTCCTCTCCTGCCACATCACCAATTGCATGTACAAGTGTCATCTGACTGTGTTCGTGTCACCCTGTGGGAATTGGGGCTCAGAGAAGTAAAGTAAATGTTAGCACTCTGGTATTGCTATTGCCTGGACAATAAAGTATTTTGTCTCTGAACCAGGAGTCTTGTGTCTCCAATTAACATTATCCATGAAACTGATAGGTTATTTTGCTAAGCTTACAAGAAGGTAAAAATCTCAGATATTTTATAATTTTTGACACTACCCATCTTGTAGGGCTGCGGTCTAGATTCAGTAAGATGATATCAGTGCTTAGCACATGGCTCCGACACATTCACACAAAAAAGTTCTCAATAAAAGTTAGTCCCAGGGTCTTCTTGTATTTGTTTGCCTTGAATGGGACCCTAATGAAACCTTTCAAGTTTCTATGCATTTCTGTAGGCTTACTCCTACTCATTGGGTGTTACATAAATGTTATAAAAATGACGGGGAAGATTCATTAACCAATTTCTAGGGGAAAAGCTTCATTGACATCATTTTTATCAGAAACTTACCTTCTTTCAGGATCAACTGTCCAGCTTCCTTCCCACTCCCAGCCCTTTGGAGGCAGGAAGAACTCCCTCTTGAGTTTTATTTTTCCTGTGACATCAGAAAATTTATGGCGACCCACTAATCCAGAAGTGCCCCATTTTCCAAACATAAGAGCTTGGTTTTCATACTATTAAAAAAAAAAGAAAAAATGGAGAAACACCATCAGAGAGCAAGAAATAGAACCAGCCCATAAATGTTTAAGCCCATCCAAGACTTAAGCTAACCAGTAATAGAAAGTGAAAAAGCTCAGAAGGTATGAGCCAAACTTGGGCTGTTAATGATTATGCAATTTAGGATAAACCCAAGACTCAGTGTTCCCAAATGTAAACCTGGGATAATCTAATACTATACATCTTATAAAGCTCAAATGTGTAAATGACTGGGAAAGTGGTTTGTGAAGAATGGTATATCGTGCTAATTGTTTCTATTATTATTTTGAATGGCTCCATATTGTTCTCTGAACCTAATCTTTTAGATACCTATCAAAAGTCCTCAGCTTATGAATATGCAGGCTTCTAAGTTTATTGGAAAACCTACTGCCTAGAAGTTGGGGCACATTTCCCCATAGAAAGAATATTATAACTGATGCTACAGGGAATCCACAAAGAACTTGCCTGAAACACGAAGGTTGTTTAGCACCTAGCCTTGATGGTATCTAAAAATCCTGAGCCTTCATGCCCACTGGTGGGTAGACCGAGACTTTTTTGGAAGCAGGTTCAGTGGCAATGGCAGACTCCGGTTTACAGAGCACTTCTTTCTACGTTAGAATTTATAATATATATATAAATATCTATAATCTAAAATATATAATCTATAATAATCTGCCCTTTATTATGTCAACTATCATAAAGGACTGATATTTGCTAGAGTGAGTGTCCCTGTTTGAATCCAGAAAAAAAAAAAAAAAGTTACATTTGTCTGCTGATGAGCTCATTGAGAAGATGATTGGCGTAAGTGATAAAGGAGTTTTTGGCTAAAGGAGGAGGGAAGAAGCTTGAGTAGGGGCCTGATGGGGACATCGGGTTCAAGGACACATAGTGCCGGTCTCAGATATTGGCTCTGAGCCCTGAGAGGAGCTGAACGTGAGGAAGAAAATGGGGGACCTGTTGTCACAGGGGCTGTCAGACTTGGGGGCATGTGCACAGTTCCTTTGGTTTCCAAGTGACAAGGACACAGGAAGAAGGAACAAGACATTCAAACCACTTCTGCTAGGAAGCCAGCATGGCTCTAGTGAAATCCAAGGTAGAAGCTTGGCACGGACAAGAGGGCATCAGCAGCAATAGAGATGAGGGCTTCACGTGGCTCTAAGGCTGTGGCCTTTAACTAGCAGTTTGGTAAGAATCGTTAGCACAGGTGAAGCACCTCAGAGACTTCCAGAAGTCTAGGGTGGGGAGGGTTTTTGTAGAGAACTGAGGTCTGGCATTAGCACAGGAAGGAAAGATCCAGCAATATTTCCATTATTGTTATAAGTGTGCCTCTACTGGTACTCCCAGGCTGTTAGAACCTGGAGAAACTGGAGTCACACAAAACAAGTGAAATGGGTGGATTATCTCTTCATGGGAATTGAAACTCCAGTTCCCTCTAGGCAGGGAAGGATCTGGAAATGGGAAAGGATGAAAGGGAGCCCTAGACTGATCGATCCTTGCTCAGTGCTAGCTTCTCCAGGCTTAGCTCCCGCCGCAGAGCTGGAAGGTAGGTGGAAGCCAAGAAATGCTAGAGGACGGCAGAAGCAAGCCTCTCCTATGAGTGCCCTGATGAACTTCCACTTCCATTACCCATCTGACTGGACATCAGCATCCACCACGCAGGGCCTCCCCTGTGACCGCCAGCACACCCTCTGTCTATTTCCAATTGCACTTCCAAGCCTGCGCTGTAAGGACTCTGTGTGTCTCCCATGTGTTTGTTTCTCAAATAACGTGTTCCCTGATACCCCTCATCTACCCACATTGGGATCACCTCTAGCGCTAATCCCTCACTCAGCAACAGAATAAGAATCCCTGAAATGGCTCTGGCAGCAGCATGTTTAACAAGACACCCTGTTATATAATCACTGCAATAGATGATGAGATCCTTGAGGACGGGGCTTGGCTTCTACATCACCTGCCTCTGTGCCTGGGATAAAGACACTACTCCCTAAAAACTTGGATAGATGTGGAATGGTAGATGGGTGGATGGATAGATGGATGGATGGATGGCCGGCCGGCCGGCCGGCCGGATGGATGGTTGGAGAATTTGGGTGGAAGTCTGCTATCATGGATTTATTTATTCATCCAGGAAATATTTATGTGTCAGGTGCTGCTAAATGAATAAAATAGCCATGGGTTTCTTGCCCAGCAAGCAGATAAGAACCACAATCTAGAACCAGTTGTCAGGCAGAGTGTCGGGCAGCAGGAACATTTATAAACTAGTTGGAAAGAAGGTAACCTCCCCATTTATTTGAGTATGGAGGCCCATCTGCAGACAAGGGGAGTTCATCTGAAAATTATCAAAAGAAACCCACTGAATACATATAATAAATTCACCTCAAAAAGCACGCTGAGTTTAAAATAGTATATAAAGAACAAATCCAAATAACTCTGTGTTTAGCTGTCCAGTTTGTGAAAATTATTTTCATTGGTTTCATTGTAATGAGACTTTTAATAAGCAAAAGTCGATTTTTAACTCAGCGAAGGTTTTACAAATGATCTCTGTTTTTGTAAGCACTCGGGCAGCATTTCCTTTGGTCTCAGGCAACCCCCCCTGAGGCTTCCCCTCAGCGAGAAGGGAGTCTCCTGTGGTTTACAGGCTCCTGACCCAGGCAGGCTTCTCGGGGTCTGCACTGTCCAGTGCCCTCACTTCTGGTTTGTCTTTGTGTGAACCACTCGGTCTGTGTCCCCGTGATGACAATGAAACCTCAAGTCAATCTTTCCCTGTTCCCTCAGGCTCGGGTCCCTTGGCTGGCATTTTAGGCAGTAATGATGAGGTTGGTGGTTTCAAATATGTGTGTTTCCCCTAAGGATGAAAGCAAAGCTACCCCCACAAAGAGGAAAAGAGAGTGATGACGTGAAATGTACCATTTCAGCGTAGACAGTGAATGCTCCCTCGGCGAAGCTATTGAACTTCTTCTCAACAGCACTTAGGCCCAGCCAGATGTTCACTCGCAACTCCACAGGCACCTTTGGCCCATTGTTTTTCTCCTGTGGGTACTGTGAGATGCACAAAGACATGGTACATTGGCGGGGAGGGGGCACAGCATGGGCTGTGACATTATCATGAAGCCAAAAGCAGGCCAAACATCCAACCATTGCTCACACCGGAAATGTTATGTTTTCGCAGTTAAAATATTTCAAAACATGTAAACAGTATCATGTTGCTCTCTGATTTTTAAAGAAAGTACAGTTATATTGGATAAAAACATGCAACTTGTGTTAAAATGTAATAGGGCCATTATTATTCTTTTTAAATGAATTAATAAATACTTTGAAATGGCTCACTTTTAATGTATATAACGGTAAATATTAATAGTCACAACCCACAGGAGCAGAAGTTCTCTGGGGGTCTTCAACAATTTTTGTAAAATTATTCTTTTTGTGGAAAGGAGTCCCAAGATCAAGAAGAACCCCAGTGAATTATATAATTCCCTAAACTGGATAATGAGTATTAACAAAATCAATAAGTATATAAAACATTCCCTTAAAAGCATTTCGCTGTGTATCCACCGAGTTCTAAAATCCAACATAGAGAAAAGCACTCGGCTTCCTCTCTCCCCCGCTGTGAAATTTATTTATTAATCAGTATGCTTCCGCCCACTGCTGAGGTCAATTATAATTGTGCTTCTATCTTAAGTAATATTTATCCCGCCAAGAGGTACTTGAGAGAAAATAATCACTCCAGTTCTATTTTCACCCTAAAGAGCAATGAGCCCATTTATTAAAAGTTAGCAGATTCCTCCTTGTTTTAAGAGAACACCGCCCCCCCTTTTTTTAAAATTTTTCCCCCCTCTTCTTCCTCTTTAATCCTCCCCCGAAAATCCAAAGAACTCATTGGGTTCAGTCCATGGAGAGGAATGTCAAACATGCGACTGAGAACGATTCCCGTCTCTGTCTGCCGGTCCCAGGGCCTCCTTTGGTTCTCCATATGCACACACTGAGCAGGTCGTAACCCAGAGCCCTCACTCCGGGGATTATGGGTTCTGAATCATATGCAAAATACTGGATGAACGTGAGATGTTAATTATTCTAGAGGAGAGGGCCAGCAGCTTTTATGAAATATTTAAAGGAGTCCATGACTCTAAAAAATGCCCAGAACCCCTGCCCTAAAGTAATAATTCTCCCAAATTTTCAATTTGAGAACACATTTAGTTAGGGAACAGATTCCATACAATATATACTTTTTTTCTACTCCCAAACAACTCCCTGGAAAGGAAGGGGAGAAAGGCACTGGTTTGCATGAGGCTTTAGAAATCAGTGGAAAAATTCATGCCAGAAAGCAAAGCATTCACAATGCCATGTGAACATCAATGCCTCAAAGTCCTCTCCAGAGTCCTTGATTGAACGCCAACAAAACTTGGACCACTCTCTGGGGATTACCCACCCAGAGGAAGGGGCCAAGATGGGCTGGAATCGATCACCGGTGCCCTAGCCACGCAATGACTGGCAAACTGTAAAGCAGCCCTTTCTCGGGAATATGGGCTTTGCATTTAAGGATTTCACTTTACACAGTGATGAGGCCATACCTTCAGAAAGATGGTTTGGATCTTCCCACAGTACTTCCCAGATGCATTCTCCCCTCTGGTGGAGTACAAAACCTGATGCGCGGGAATGCGTGCATAGGCCAGTCTTTTCTCTCCCCGGATCATCCAGATGATAATGTCAGGCACGCTGTTCTGAGGCTGGTCACGTGGGTGGGTGGGAAAAGAAGCAAAGCTAGCATAATGCACATGGACTGGCAGGCTGGACCTGCAGGGTTCCTCTTGGCAAAGAAACACTGTGGCCAGGGGTTGTCTGGCCCACATTCCCGAGTCTCACATCTTTTAGGGCCACACTGGGAGCCCACAGGGCTGGGGGAGGCTGTGGATGGCCAAAGAGCATCGCAGGAAGCAGAGGGGGCTTCACCTGCCCAAAGCCCCACCTGCTCGCTGGGCTCCCACAGGCGTTTTAGGAAATACGCCTCTTATCTCGCCCGTCATATGAAGAAAGCCGCCAACAGTAGTCAAGGGTTACAAATTCCATATATTTTCCAATATGAAATACTCATTTAGTTTTTAAAAACCACTTTTTTTAATTATAAAGGTAATACAAGTTCACTATAGAAAATTTGAAAGCACTGAAGTATAAACAGTAGAAAATAAAAATTACCCATAATCACATGTGTATTTTCAAATGTGTTTCTATTTACAAATACATTAGTCCCCTGCCCCACCTGTGAAGGTCAGTAGGAGGGGTCCTCTGTTCCTTGCTCTTTCAGTCCACAGAATTTGTCCAGCCCTTGCTGCATGCCCTGCCACTGTGGTAAGCCCTTGACACTCATCATCCTCTTTAGTCTTTATGAAACAGTGCTGTGAAGTGAGTAACTATATTTACCTCCATTATACATGAAAGGAAACTGAGGCTTAGAGAGTTTGGATACTTTGCCCAAGTTTACACATGGTAGATCCAGATTCAAAGTCAAGTCTTCCCAATTCTAACCCAAGGAGGCATTTGCTCCTTATCTGCTACTTTATCACTCTACTTGAAATACTCTCTGTTCTGTGATTATGATAATGATTTGTTCATTCTGAAGACCTTCCCAGGACCACCAACTCAAAATTCTTCTGCCCTGACTTCAATGATGTCCATCTCTTTATCCATTAGCATCTTGGCCAGCAACTCCTTGATTTTCATCATCCATCAGATCTGGCCAAAATCCAAGGCAATGCACCAGGTTTCCCTACCACCATCTCTATCCTATGCCATTCCATAGGATCCTTCTCCCATATAAAGTGACATTTGTGCTGTTTAAAAGTTTTACCTCTTCAGCCGGGACCGGTTTGGCTCAGTGGATAGAGCTTCGGCCTGCGGACTGAAAAGTCCGGGTTTGATTCCCGGCAAGGGCATGTACCTTGATTGCGGGCACATCCCCAGTAGGGGGTGTGCAAGAGGCAGCTGATCGATGATTCTCTCTCATCGATGTTTCTAACTCTCTATCCGTCTCTCTTCCACTCTGTGAAAAATCAATAAAATATATTAAAAAAAATAAAAGTTTTACCTCTTCAGTCAGTTGCATTAGTTTATAAAGCCACTCCTCAATTTCCCCCACTGTGGACTCCACGTCTATGGCCTCAGACCTCATCTTCACAGCTGCCTCCTGAATCTGGGAGAGAGACCTGGACCGCAGCTTTTGGATCTGAGTGTCCAGCATTGTGACATTAGGGTTTCCTTCCACTGGAGGCAACGTGTAGCTAAACAACAACAACAACAACAACACAAAACAGAGTTTGCAGAATAGCTTTTTAGGCTTCAGAACTGTCGAAGTCATTTATATTTGGTTTTCATCTTTCAAATCACACCGTTTTCCAAACTGCATGAGAAAATGACTTTTAGCTGAATAGATTGTATATGGCATTGGTAGATCAGATGTTCCAGTTAAGTCTCTCCTCACTCTCACGAAAAATACAGGGGGATTAAATTTCAAAGCGATTCCTTGGATTTAACTCAAGGCCCATAGAATCACTGGAAAGAAGATGGAAACACAGCAGCAGTTTGGAGAAATGGCCTTTCTTTCCTATATCATTGTATAGAACCACAAAATGAAGGAGAAGGGAGAGTAGAGACCATTTAGCCATCAGGTTCTTAACTAGGGTCCATACACCCCTGCGTCACCTGTGGGTGAGCCTGAGGAAGTGTGTGAATCCCTGGAACCTATAAAGAAAAGTGTACATTTGTGTTGGCATGCAGTGTACTATAATGAGGAAGAACAAGGGCTTTGGAGCAGGCTACCTAGGTATAAATCTTGGCTCCATCATTTACAAGCTCTGTGATCTCTTATCTTCCTATCTCCAAATGTGTGTGTGTGGGGGGGGGGGGTATCTACCTTTTAGGATTGTGTGGGAAGTAAATGAATTAATATATGGAGAGCATTGAGAGCAATGCCTGATACAAATTAAGTCTAAATAATGTTGCCATCATCATCTTCATCTCATCAGGTATTCAAAGGGGCCCAGGAGCTCTCAAGAGGTTAAGAACCGCTTGTGTAGGCCAAGCTCTCATTCAAAAATGAGAAGTCAAGAATAGCTGAGCTGGGGTCATAAAGGTCATCTTCTGCCAGAGCTTCCCTCTAGACACGGCAGCTGGCGGGGACCCAGGGTAAAGCTGTCACCGATTCCAGGAAGTTCTATTCACATTGTCTCTACCTGGAATTTCCATTGATTTAAATTTCACCCAGCTTCTTAAATGAAGGAAATCCAACCATGACTTCCCATAAACATCAATTTCCTGTTACATAAAGTTTCAACGATTCCAATTTAAATCTTCAAGGAATAGTTCACATGCATTTAATTCTTCAAAAAGAAATTCTTGAAGAATAGTGAACATAGATATTTCTGTGTTTCACTCAGCAAACCTTACACATTCGCATTTTTGACAGGAAAAGCATAATAAAATATTTGTGTAGTTGCATTAGTAATTATGGCAATGCATTGGAAGGGTTAAGTCCCTGGAATGATTCTTTGATGCATAAATAAATACAGAAGCTGCTAGCTCAAAAGTCACATGTGAGACTTGCAATAAATAGATACTAATTGTGTGAAACACGTAGCAAGAAGAGTTGCACTTATAAACCCAACTCGGTATCAGATGCATCATTTCACCTCCTTGGGCCGCTGTTTTCTCATCTATAAAGTAAGAAGACTGGAAGAAATTATCTCTTGGACCCAGATTAAAATTCTCTGAATATAAACCAGTACCCACCAGTTCTTGGATCTTAGCTGCATGTCAATTACCTGGTTACACCACTAGAAGGCACAAGAAGACAGGGAGACTTAGAGCACTGGAGTTTGGGGGTGGGAGGAGGGAAAAGATGACTGGTTCCTGCTGCTTATGAAAACTTTCAATATGCTTTTCTTTTGGAACTTCCCAGTCCACTGCTTTATTAGCCAATATTTAAAACGAGTTTGGAATGAGTCACTTCCCCCTTTGATTTCCAAATACCCTGAGGTCTGAGCTGTTTCCTCAAGTCACAGTTATGAAAGGTTATCTGGCTCCCGTCAAAGTTACTGACTTTACCTAAAGGAGGCAGGGCCAGAGTGTTCACTAGGCAACCAGTAAATGAGCACGTAAAAGAGTTGTTTCTGGAAAATGTGTTGAAATTACAAACGATGTTCTGAATGGCAAAATTGATGCTCTGTCCCCAGATCCCACTCTCTCTAGGGGCTGGGAGATTGGTGGGAGGCAGAGGCACAGCCCTGATCCCTCCCACATTCCTCGCCTGAGGCTGAGCTGGGCTGTGCTTCCTGGAGTCAGGCCCCAGCCTCCCTCAGCCTCCCTCAGTCTCTCTCAGGCTCCCTCAGCCTCCCTCAGCCTCTCTCAGCCTTCAGGGCTGCTTTAGAATTGGCACCAAATCCGAAAGTGGAGCTTTTCCTGTGGTGATTCAGACTCCTCCCAGGACCCGCCTTTTGAGAATCCTGACTAGTTGAAATTTATTTTTCCGACGAACATTAAGGGTAATTCTAGAGGCTCTTTTAGTCCTATAGTTTAAGAGAGGGAAGCATGTCTGGAAATTCTGAGATACACAAAATCAATTTACCTTGTGTCTTCTATAACTTCATCAATCAGCTTCAACCATATTTCTGCCAACTGGTTTGCAGGAATTTTACCCTGTATCCCTGATTTTAGAGCCTCTATGTTTGATTGCTGGGAAAGAGAGAAAATAGTTGGTAATTGTGCATTATGTCATTACGTATACGCAGTGGGGTTTAACTTTAATTTTAATTTAAAAAATACACAAAAGACCTAACAGAAAAACGGGATTTTTTTTGTTTGTTTGTTCATTGTTTTGCTTTTTATAATGCTCACCATAGCCTAGCACTATTTATTTTTCTTCTAAAATGCAGTCAACAGTGATATGCTTAAGTACTAGGATGACCTTTTCATATGGCTTTGGACCCTTAAAACTGGACAAAAAAGGGGCCACATACTAAACCTGACAAGCTCAGGGGAGGCCTGTGTAGTGAGCCGGTCTTACAAATTCAGAGACCTAGAGTAAATACATAGGATGCTCTGAAATGAAAACTTTCTAACTAAAAGCAAGTCATGGTGGATTGTCATGTCCTAGGCTGGTATCTTCCTTGAAAAAAGTCAATGTTTACCTTAGCTATTGCCTTTTTGTATCTACTCTATCAGACATTTGGAATGTCAGAGTAATCCCTTTTTCCCAGACTCCTCAGGGTACAATCTCCCACCAGGGCAGGAGACCACAGAACCCCTCACTATTATCTTCTTTGCTTCATGCCATCTCTTAGTGCTGTAAATGCTATTGTTAACTATCTTGTACTCACCAATGTGAAAGAAGCATCTTTCCATTTTACTTTTTATCCAAATCCCAGAGATTTCCCCACTTTGCTTTCTCCTGCCCCCTTAATCTACCACCAACGAATTTCATGTAACCCTATTTATGTCTCCTCCTTTTATCGTATGTATAAAATAAGGTGCAAAGCTACCATTCTCTGGAACATTTTCTCAATCCATTAATATTTTGCTTCTTAGCGATTGTCATCAGTTTGGTTCAAACAAACTCAAAAATTCTTACAGGTTTGGATGTTTCTTATGTCAACAATACCATGTAAATATATTATGTACTCAAATAGCAATAAAATAAAACCAACAAAGATAGGGGAAGGAACCTTAAAATAGAATATTAAACAGGAACAAATGAACCTGAATTATATTTCAGATGAATAACATAACTATACTGAGCTAACCAAAGTAACTTTGCAACACAATATCTTCACTATATATCTTCTGTTTAAAGGAAAGAAAAAATCATAAACATATCAAACTCTAATTAGTTTTTTTTTCCATTTGGTTTATCTTTGGATTTTAGGATTAAATAAATGAGTAACTATATTGAGAATAATGAAAATCAAGTTTCTCACTGCTGGAGAAGGGAGTTGTAAATATAGAAATAGGGAAGGCTAGTACCTTTATCTCAACCATGTTCCTTTTCTCCTCATCAATGTCAACTAGGTGTGTAATTACAGATACTACAATTATGCAGCTTTTATCACAGTGAACCCCCAACCTCCAAACAAGGAAGTTTCCTCTGGTCTACAGCCAGAGTGGAGAATGTCAGGCTCTGGTTCCTTTGATCCCACTTCTTCCCACAGTAGAGATTTTTACTACTTTAACTGCAAAACTCTAAGGATTGCATATTTCTATTGGAATGAACCATTCTCTACACCATATTCACATACAAATGTGAGTTTTGCCTCCTCACCTTCAATATCCGTTCTCCCTATCCCACAATAAGGACAGTTTTATCTGGCCATATGCTAGCTCAGATATGAGAGTGCATTTCCCAACTCCCTTGCAGCAAGATGTGATCATGTGACTGGGTTCCGGTCAGTGGAAAGTGGATATAAATCAACTGTGTGACTGCTGGGTCTTTTCCTTCAAAGGAAAGACTGTGTCATCTTCTCTCCCTCTTTTTTCCTTCCTCAGCCTGGAGGGTAGGTGTTAACAGTGAGCTGGCTCTTCCACAAAAACAAATGACATCTCCTTAGTGATGGTAGAGCAACAAGAGGGAAAGAGCCTGGGTCCCCAACACCATGAACCTCCATACCAGCCTTGGATCACCTACCTCAACTGTAACTAAAAAAACAGCTTTTATCTTGCTTAGCACTCTATGTTGAGGCCTTGAGTTAGAGTGGCCTAGCCTGTATCTTTACTAATACCTAATTCTGTCTCATGAAATGAAAATGTAGAAGAGATAAACTTACCAGCCGTTCTGCCATGACTAAGAGAGTGTTGACTGCATCCAGGCGATGACTAATATCCTCCCAATATGAAGTCAGAGTAACAACTGGCTTTGTGTGGGCCCAAGGCAGGTAATAATAGTAGTTCCCTGGTATAGAACATTGAGAATCAGTGACATTGTACACTTAAACAGCATGCTTATTAAAGAGATGTGCAGCCAAAACTGGTTTGGCTTAGTGGATAGAGCGTCAGCCTGCAGACTGAAGGGTCCCACGTTCTATTCAGGTCAAGGGCATGTACTTTGGTTGTGGGCACATCCCCAGTGTGGGGTATGCAAGACGCAGCTGATCGATGTTTCTCTCTCATCGATGTTTCTAACTTTCTATCTCTCTCCCTTCCTCTCTGTAAAAAATCAATTAAAAAAAAAAAAAAAGAGAGAGATGTGCAAACTGCGATATTGTTTAGTTGTTTGCTTTGGAAATGATCTAGGTAGTAGGATTCTTTAATTTTATTCAATTAAGCAACTGAGGGATAGACAAAAAGTTCTTATTTACTCAGTCTGTTTTGAAAAATTCTCTAAAATGCCCTAGTAAACCAAACATAGCAATCTTTAGGATTTTTAGTGGTTTGGGGTCATGTACCTGAACATCAGAGATGATTACATAACACAGTAGCAGACACTATAGAGAGCACAGGTGATTAGACTGAATGTGTTTGTCCCTGAAAACTGCTCTTCAAAATGAATATTTTTGTTAGAAGTGGGGCAACCAAAAAGAACTTTGTGTTTTTAAAAAGACTTAGCTAGATATATCGGGTTTGGTATTACTTAGAATTAAACTGATAAGAACAGATACTACACTTGATCTTAGCCAAAAGGCCAAGAAGCGATGGTATTACTTAGAATTATTAGTCAAGTTTCTAGCACATTTTATATTTTAACGTTGCTTCTTCAAAAATTAGGTAAAAACTATATGATTGTTGGAACATTTGATCAGAATTTCTCCCTCATTTCTCTCTGTTCTTAAATCACTTTATTAGATATCAATATCTTTATTAGGACATTCTCACACTCTGCCTTCTTATTATGATTTATTTTATATACTAGAATGTAAGTGCCTTAAAAGCAGGGACTGTTTCTCATCCATCTTTGTGTAAGTAGAGCTACTTAATCCGCACAGCATCCCTGAAGAAGATGAAGAAACTAAATTCAGTGATGTGGCTAAGGTCATAGGGCTGGTGAGTGAGCGAGCAAAGACCAGAAGCTTGATTTTCCAGGCTCCGAGCAAGAGTCCCACTTCAACTACTCAATCTAAGAGAGACTGGGAGCCGGCAGGTGAAAATAAGCAGGAGATGTTTCAGGGAGCTCAGTGATCAACAAGTGGCCAACTTGTGACTTTACAAAACGAAGCCAGTGTAAAATCTGGGCATGGGATGAGGTAAAGGGGCTCAGCACAGGGCTCCAGCTTCTTTGGTTTGACTAGTCTTACAGGAGCCTGAACTCCAGCCACCTCTCCTCCCCATTCAACCTTTTCCTTCCCATTAAGCATCTACTGGAGGTAACGGCTGCCAGACGGAGAACACACTGCATGCTTCTTGTCCTGTGGTGCACCCACTCTGCATGCGCATGGGAGAGAACGTCAGTCTTACCATCAAATATGGCACGGCTGTACTGAGTGGTTGATGCCAAAGGCTTACAGGTTGAGTCAAACTTGTTGCCATAGTTCCCAATGCTGACTTCAAACTGAATGGCCTCGCCAACATCTTGCAACATGGTGGCCGAATGGAACACAGCAGACAGGCTGTACTTTCGCCTTCGCTGGTATTTCTATAAAGTATGAGCAGACATAAGGCTCAGTGAAATGGCTCTTGCTCTAATTTACATGTAGATTTCTATAAAATATAATTTGGAACCTAATAATTAGTGTTGAGTTAAAGGCCAGTGAAGAATGTCCTTGAATCTAGCAGTTTCCCTTGTACTCATAAAAGAAGGCATATATAGAATGTTCATTGCTGCACCGATTGAAATAGAGATAAAAATGAAAACCATATAAATATCTATTAATAGGTGTTTGGATAAACAAATGTTGCCTCCATATAAATGAATAAAAGTTCATAAAATATTTACATAGATTGACATGTGCAATCATGGTAAAAGGGTATTTAAAAGTGAACCCATTAAATATACATTTTAATATTGGCATATGCATGAAGAAAGTCTGGAATAATATAAATCAAATTGTTAACAGGTATGCTGGGGAACTTTATGGTTAACTTTACTTTCTAACATACATTTTAATTGTTTGAATTGTTTAAGTACTAGTTTTCTAATCAGAGACAATAAAAACTTTTAATGTCAAATTTTAAAAAAAGTGAAATTAGTCCAGCAATTGACTCAGCAATTGAGCATCGACCCATGAGCCAGATCACAGTTCACACATGCCAGGTTTGGGGCTCGATCCCCAGTAGGGGATGAGCAGGAGGCAGCCAATCAGTGATGTTTCTCCCCCATTAATATTTCTATCTCTTTATCCCTCTCTCTTAAAATCAATAAAAAAAATTAAAAAATAAATGAAATGAACTTTTTTTTCTGAAATAGAAATCAAACATTGTTTCCTTCTTTCTTTCTTTTGTTTTGTTTTACTGAGTGTGTGTGTGAGGGAGTGGAACATAGGGCCAATAATGAATAATCACATTGAGTATCTATCAGCCTAGCACAGTGGTCGGCAAACTCTTTAGTCAACAGAGCCAAATATCAATAGTACAACGATTGAAATTTCTTTTGAGAGCCAAATTTTTTAAACTTAAACTTCTTCTAACGCCACTTCTTCAAAATAGACTCGCCCAGGCCGTGGTATTTGGTGGAAGAGCCACACTCAAAAGGCCAAAGAGCCACATGTGGCTCACGAGCCACCGTTTGCCAACCACGGGCCTAGCAGAAATGACCAGGAGTCCTTGAAGTTTTCCTTTAAGTGTGCATCAAAAGTCTCTTGAATCCACATCCTGTCCCAGATCCTGTTCAGATTGCTTCTCTCCTTTATGGATCACATCCCTACTTATCTGGGCAAACTTCAGTCAAACTGAGCCATGCAATGGTTTAATTTGCTGTATTTGATTATTTAATACTATCCACATCTAGAATTTGTTCTGGATCCATGTAGATACCCAGTCTCTGTATACAGTGGCTTAGCGTGGGGGTGAGAACATCAGTGGTTACTATAGTGCAGCCATATTAGCTACGTGTTCCATTGGTGAACTTGTGAGACACACAAATGCCAGTATTCAAATTGCATGACAAATTTCTCATCATAGCAAGTTTAGCTCAAAAGCCTCTCAAGTTTAGAATTTCCAGCTCTGTAGTCCTTCAATTTGAGAGTTGGAGACTACATGACTATTAAACTTGAACATATGATGACTTTTCAGTGTTGTATTTGATTTCTTCCCCATTTCTACCTTGCTACCAATTTGTATGCCACAATTTAAGCAGTAGTGATATCTTTCACCACTACGAAGCAAATAAAAATTACTTGATCCCTGTAGGGTATCTACCAACTGATTTTTCTTTCTTTCCTAATTCATCTATACCATTACCTTTATTCTATAAAATGAATCACAATCATGGCTGGGTCTTCTGGCTTGTATGATGCAAGAATGTGGTCATTCATTTAGAGAAGTACTCAGATAACTGTTTTGAAATTTTTTTGTTTGGTAAAACACACAATGTAAAATTCATTCATCTGAGCTATTTTTAAATGTACATTTCAGTGACATTAAACACTCACAATTTTGTGCTAAAATTATCCCCTATCTATCCATAGAACTCTTTTCCATTTAGAAAACTAAAACTATGTACCCATTAAACACAGCAACAAACCAGACCACTGGCAGGTGCAAAGGGAAAGGCTCTTATAGAGCAGATGTAGAAGGTAGGCCAGGAAATTTTTTGATTGGTTACAGCTTAAATGAATGCATTATTTGGGATAGCATCATTACCTATTAGGTTCAAGGAGACTGTATGTCAAAGAAAATTGCCCAACTTGTCATATTGGTCTGCTTACTAAATATGACTGACAACTGGTGATAAAACAAATCTCATCACCTCCATTGGGCTGTTGTAGACAAATCAAGAGGGCATTGAAGGGCACTTGCTATGACTCCACCTTCAGTTCCTGGATGTCCCCTTCAGGCCCATTTGTTCAGATAGACCGGTACTAGCTATCCCACCACCAATCCTCTACAACACCCTTCTCTGTACTAAGCATTATCCACACTCCAACACTTACCTCAACAACCAGCAGGTCATCACTGGAAATGGACTGAAGCCTTTTCTCTGGTGGTGTCTTTTCAAGAAGAGTGCACAGTTCAACCAAGATTCTACCTCTGTAGGCAACTCCTTCTCCCTGAAAGGCAACAACACAGGATTATTCCTCCAGGCATGAACAACAGCAGAAAGAATAGTCTCTCTACTCTGGTTAATCCAATTACAAAAAGTTTCTCCTTCCACAGCCCTAATTTCCAAAATGAATCAGTAACTCTCTGAGCAGGATTTAAATCTTTGTTATCTAAAAAAAGAAACAAGACTTCTGGTGGCAATCCAGAGAGAGACAGGGGAGCCGGGCTGAAAGAGATCTTAGCCATGATGAGGTGGAGGGAGTGGCAGTAGAAGAAACTCACAGTCTCCCTCACCGCACTTCAGCAAAGCAGCTCTACATTTACCTACAGTAATTTTTTTCCTCTTCACAGAATAGGAAGGCTGCCATGTTGGCAACCAGGGCAAGTCCCGGAGTAGTGAGAAAGTAAAGAAAGAAGATGTTTTGTGCAGCTGAGTGTGAGGATGGATATCAGATATCCACTATGCTTGACTCTGTTGGCAAGAGAATCTTCTGAGAGGAAGAGAAATCTCTACCCTCCTCCTTCGAGGGCTTTTTTCTTTCCATCTTTGTCCCTTTCTGGGTTTGGGGAACTAACTTAAAGATATTACTTTGGCTTCTAATGTAATAGAAAGATCACTTATCATATCTGGAACTCCATGTCCTCGCCTTCAAAATAAAGAAGTTGGATCAGGCCAGAGACAGCAAAGAGGTTGGACCAGGCATGTCACCTCCAATCATTTGGTAAATTCTTAGAACATGGTGTTGAACAGAATTCTGAGGCAACACATTTGCTGATTAGCAAAGAAATGCAGCACTGATTCTTAACATCTGTCCTAAGAATAGGGAATAGCCATGCAATATACTGACAATTACCAAAGCAGACCTCCAGAATCCTTTTCTACTCTTGCATTCTAAGACATGAGCATGAGATGTCTATCCTCATGTGGTAGGTCTGTGTGTGTGTATGGGGGGAGGCCCCCTAAATATGAGACTTAATTACAACCATTACAAGAAGGAATCTCATTAACAGTGTTCATTAATAACAAACCTTAATTGAGAAACCAACCTTCCCAGTATTTAGCTCATCATAGGGGTCTGGGAATCCTGTGTATTCTCTGGGGCTTCCATAAAGGTTCAGATAACAAGGTCCAAATGTTGGAATAAAGCCCACCTCTGTTTCTCCTGTATTTGCTGAGAGATAATATCATCATTAAATTTTAGGCTTTTAAACATTTGCTCTGTTGAAATAAATATTAGTTATTAGTTGGTTGAAATAAATATTAGTTATTAGTTTTTCTCCATTTTTGAGAGTTAGTTGTATTAGTGGAAATTATAAGTACTTGTGAGACTTGCCAGTTTCCCTTTTCTTATTGCTATAAAATATTAAATAAAAACATTTTGAGGTAATTCAAGTAAACACGTTATTCTTAAAAAAAAAGATAATGTTATTCAAATGAAAGAATAATAAAGCTTTCAAGATGATCTTCACATTTTTTTGTAAGTTTAAAATTGGCATCATGTTAAACATGTCATTGGCAATTGGGGCAAAGAGTATATTGTTTTGAGAAGTCATTTAAATGATATCTATCAGATTAACTTTGTTCCAAAAAAATATGATTTAATCTCAAGTTAAAATATGTGAGATTTAAAAATTTTATATGTAATAATAAACTGCCTGCCTGTAGTGATAAAACTATATGATATTCATTAAATACAATAGCATGAAGTCCCCACTCACTACATTCTGTCTCTGATGAACAAACGATATGCTCCTTAGTTCCGCTATCTGGTCTTAGCAAGAGTATTCACCAATGAGGGGGCAATGTTAGGAATTAGCAAGGTCAAAGGGAGATTGTGGGGAAATGTAAGAGCTGGGTTTGATGGATGACAAACCTATCTGAACCTCAGCGCCCTCATCTTTTGAGGGAACAACATCTGCCCTAGGGGGATTGTGATGGTCAAGTGAGAGAGCACTGAGCAAACTTGCAATGAATGGTAAGAGCTGTGCAAACCAAAGGACAGGTTATGGCCCCTCATGTTTGGGAGATGAAGACCTTCAAGATATAAAGCAGAAAACAGTATCTTCCAACCTAGAAATCCATGTTGAAAGTGGGGAAAAGTCATTTCATACATATGGGACACTAAATCCCATATCTCTATGTATGAAACATAAACAACATTAACAAAAAAGTGTTATGTCTCACAAACAGTTATTCACAATGAAGCCAATAGGATAGTTTGCATCTAGGTGAAAACATGAGACATGGAGCAGTGCTTACTTGCACATCTGTTTTAAGCTAAGCCATGAAGGACAACTATGCAGCACTAACACAAAAATTATTTCTAAGACAGCAAAATGTTGTTAAAAAAAAAAAGGGGGGGGGGTGTTAAAGGCAATCAAATTATAATAGTAAATAGGAAGCTCTAGAAGATAGCAAAATTACAAAGCATAAACCTGTATATGTTGCAGCCCCAGATCCATAAGATGAGAAATCTACATAGTAAAAATACAGTTGGTTAAACAACATGAGAAACACAGCATTATAAAAGAGACATTGGAACGTTAACCAAATCCAGCCCCAAGCAACACCAGAAAAATCCCAAATTCAGACCCAAGCCACATGACCCTATTGTAATTAGTACAAATATCACTGGTTAAACGCAAAATGGCTCAACACTTGATAACGTGAAATAACCCGATCTCTCCAGTCCCAGGGCCACCAAGCATCTGAGAAGGCTCAGCTTCTGGCCGCCAAAGAAAGCCTGGTGATGCTACCGACATTTCGTGTTTTTAATAAAACGTTTACCTGTCTTAGGTCTCGCTTAGTTTAGAAAGAAAATTCAAGTTCATGTGGTCTTAGGTCTATAGTTTGTGGTACATTGTTTGTTTCTTTGGGGGAGATGTGTGCTGCTCATTGTTATTCAGAGACCCTGTAACAGAAGGACCCGCAGGGAGAGAAGACCTCAGGAATGGGCTGAAACTAACAATTTCTGTTTTTATGGATGATGGCTGTTACCACCATATGGCTATGAAAAAGACTCGTTTTAATATTTCTTGAATAATTATCTTTAGGTGATTATTTAATAACTTCTTGCTTATGAAAAATGAATTTAATAATATCTACCTTCCCTCCATATAGGTACAGTATGATTTTAAATTACTCCTTTGGTTACCTTTAATCAATAGATTTAACCTAGTCCTTAACCAATCTTTATAGAACCAATGATTCACCCAGTCTTTATATCTGGATTCCTCACTTGATAAGAGGCTAGTAGCCCATCTACTTCTCCCTCCACTCCCCTTCCTTCTAATCTCTGTTTTCTGTGCTTTCACTTTTACATTGCCATGGGTGATGAAATTTACATTCTGCTTAGAGCTTTGACTACCAACTTAATAAAAAATAAAAAACCAACAAATAATGTTTACATTATAACAGCCATATAAATATTGTTCTCTGCAGAGAAAAGGAAAGTGTAATTACATTTCCTTTGTTACCCGCTGTTCCAGCAAGCATGCCACTCAGCAGAGAATATTCCAATGAAATCTCTTCCCTAACTCCTACCATTTGCCTAAAATATTTGGACTTCATTATTTGGACTATATCTACTTTGTTTAGTTTTTTTCATAATTTCTAATTGCCCTATTTTTCCTTCTTGAGAAAGGAAATCTATAGCTTCTTTACCATATCTCTATTATCTTCCAGATTCTTATTCATGCTATATATTGTTTGAATTAACATTAAAAAAATCAACTCACAAACCTATAAGGTCCTCTCTCTCTCTCTTTTTTAAAATATATTTTATTGACTTTTTACAGAGAGGAAGGGAGAGAGATAGAGAGCTAGAAACGTCGATGAGAGAGGAACATTGACCAGCTGCCTCTTGCACACCCCCTACCGGGATGTGCCCGCAACCAAGGTACATGCCCTTGACCGGAATCGAACCTGGGACCTTTCAGTCCGCAGACCGATGATCTACCACTGAGCCAAATCGGTTTCGGCAGGTCCTCTCTTGAAGAACATGAGAGGCACCTTAGGTTTTCAAGACAAAATCTTATCTCAAATTCTCTCACTTTACTCAATATGTTGAACCTATTAGCAATTATAAGAATTTTCATTATTGTATTTAGATAACAAAAAATAAGCTGCTGTTATTATTGCTTAACATTAAATATTTTACCTTACCACGTTAATTTTTCTCCTTCATTTCTTATTATTTCTGACATATACACAGAACCATAATGCCAGATATAGGCAATTATTGTAATTCTCAGTATGGAAAACATCAAAAAGAAAAGTGTAGTGGTTATTAATGCCTGTTGCACAAAATGCATGAAAAAAAAATACACATGATCTTAGGGAGCAAAGATTACATGGTTCGTTGCTGTCTGGCCTCCGGGTTCCTGCCAAGGAAATCAGTTAAGAAAGGGAATATAATTTATATCTTGGTGAAATTGTTTCAATGCCAATATATTGATTAAAAAAATAAGATGCTAAGCACTCTGTATTGACACTCAACATTTATAAAACAGCTCCTGGGAACGAATATTTGGATGGGAGCAAGAAAGCTAAAATCTTCCAACTGTTAGTTGCCTCAAGTACTAATGACAAATTAGTTGTTTTCCGATCATCACCAGAACATCCTTGAAATGGTTCACTAGGCTCATCACATTTAGCTTTTAAGAAACCAAGTCCATTGTCATGGGGCTATCCCAGCTCATTCCTTCAGAAGTTCTGCACCTTGTCTTATTCCAGCTCTGTTGTGTGACTTACCTTCCACTTCTCCACCGGAGGCAGCGATTTTAGAAAGATGAAGATATGTTGTTCCAACTACATCATTTTTGGTAAGACGATCCCTGTGTAAAAAAACAGGGTAAGGCCTTCACTATAAGGATGTATTTTCATTTCAACAATAATAAGATAGAGCTGGAAAAGACCCTAAACCTCAGAAATCATTGTCCAGTGGGCCTCAGCATTACTGTACTTTCAAAATGTCACTTGAAACCCCCCACTCTCATCTCCTATTCAAGCTTTTGATTCACTAAAAGTAGGGGTGATGAACAAGTCTGCATTAATAATAAGTATATTTCCTAATTCATTCTGATGCAAATGGCCCTCCAACCATCCTTTAAGAAACACTGATCTAGTTGGACAACTCATTTCATTTATGGAAACTGAGATTTTTACAAAAGTCATGAGATTTGCATATGGCCACACTCAATACTATTGTCATAAAAGGAATGAACCAATTAATAGGCACATTGCATAAGGAGTGTAATGTAATCATATTACATAGAATAAGTGCATGCTTATTTTATCATGTTTATACTAATTATTATGCTGGTTTAATAACTACAATGGGCTATATCTAAGGGTCCTTCATAGGGAGAAAATTTCCTTTTCAATTTGATTCAAATACTTACTGAGCACTACTGTGTGATAGATACTATTTTTCTGACCACAGTTGTTTGCCTATAACCTAAATCTTAGTATCTATATGGTAAGGGACAAATTTGTCCACTATAAGTATATACAACTTTGTGTATCTTTCCATGAGTACCTTAGTCTGTGAGCCTAACTCATGAAATGCTCTCTGGTCAAGCACATAGTAGGTGTAAAAAATAAGGTTTATATTAATAACATCCTCTCTTTAATTCTTCCTCTTCTTTATACCATTTAGTGGCATACCCACTCTGAAGATTAAGCCTTCATGGGAGAGAGGAAAGGCTTAGTATTTTGAGGAAATATTATTCTACAACATAATACTATGTATTATAGTATTATTATATATAATATACAGGGTCGGGCAAAAGTAGGTCTGGAAAATAACACAATAGTATGGAAAATAACACAATAATTAATAAATAGTAATACAAGAATAAATTCTGTGTTTTGTGCACTCACAGCTGTAAACCTACTTTCACCCCACTATTCTGAAGACTAAATGGAATAAAGTCAGGAAGGCATGAGGCACAGCACCTGGCACTTAGTGGTGCTCAAAAAACAGTAGCAAACATCATAATAAACACTGATAAAGATGATGATGATGATGATGATGATGATAATGATGATGATGATGATGATAATGATATTTGCCACTCTCGGGGAGCTAAAGGCTGCTAATTGAATACCCCATCTAACTAGAACATACTCAAGAATGGTCTCATTGTGGCCAATCACCGCTAGGAGGGTGGTCTAGTAAAAATCCCATCAGAACCTTTCAAAGAATTTCCTACATTCAGATAGGTAGCTCTGTCCATTTTCCTTTCTAACAATAACAGTAACAGAATGTTTTGGTGATTCTTCCCAAGAAGTGGTTTACTCCATGTATGAGATCCATTTGGGGAAGCCTAATGGTATTTCATTCCTTGTCTTGGGCATTTTCAGATCATTTCTTCCTTCTTTGTTTATGAACAGTTGAACTAAGATATTCAAAATTTTTCTGCAACAACACTATTATCATTTTTAAGGAAAACATACAGTTCCAATAACAGTTTATTTCTTCCCTCTGGGAGAAAAGCAAATATACTAAAATGTAAGAGTCAGGTGATCTAGATATCCAAATGTTTAATATCCAAATGTTTAATTCTTTAATTCTGAATTAGTCACAAGTCCATTTTTAACTCACCAGTCAAATATTGTTAGTTTTATTTTTTCACACACTGACGGAAACTGTGCAAAAGAAATAGAAAAGGTAGTTATTTCTCAATTTACTCAGTTACTATGAAAGTTAGTAGTCTTATTTTTCTGAAAGAAAATGAAGTCAAACCTTGATCTGGAGATTAACGACTTGATTCCACTCAGGGTTTGCATTTTTCTCAATTATATTTGTGCAAACCTGTAAAATCGTCAAAGCAAAACAGTAGGTATTCAAGTTTCTAATTTTTAAAAGTTTATAATATATGCATATTAGATCATGACTAGCAGTTTACTTATAAGTTATATACTTAGTAACCTCGTTAAAGGTTATTTTTCTTGATAATGATTTGGTAAAATATGACATGGGTTTAAGATCTCTGCTACTTCTGTGGCTAAAAGTTTTCAATTGCCAGATTTCTAACATTGTGCAAGCATAATAAGGCAAAATTAATGTTTATTGAGCACTTATGACATACTGCCTAATAACAATTATCTTCATTAGCATGTCCAAACAGGTCTTTTGATTCTGCGCACCCAACCCCTCCTCTGTCTAACCAAACTGGCTCCTGTCCCAATCTTTCCATCATTGTTCACCAGCTGGCTTAGCATTATAACAAAGTCAGCCACCTCTCTCTCCCCATCACACACCTTATCCAATCCATGAGTAAATTCTGACACTCTTATCTTCATGTGAACCCTGACTGGCCCCAGACACCTGCAGTTGGCTCCTACCTAGATGGTCACTTCCTCTCCTGCCTGCTCACTGTCATGTCACCCCCCTTCCCCACCCCTCTATGTAGTATCCTCCATGATCTCTCAGTTGCACTTAGAATAAAGTCCAGGTCCAACCCCTTGCTGATAAAGCTCTACTGCCCCACCACCCACATCTTTCTGACCTTCTCTCTTAGTTTTCCCCCTTGCTCACCACTCCAGCCACCTGGATGTTCTTTGGCTGCAAATGTGTCTCCTCCTGGGGGCCTTTACATCTGCTATTCCCTCTGTCTGGAAGCTTCCCCACCTTCCACTCCCCCACCCCTGACCTCTGCATCATCCAGGCCCCTGTGCGAATGTCACTTCCTCAAAGGTGGCCACGTGATCTCCTAGCTAAATAACCCTTCAACCCCACACAATCACTTCTTGTCCCTGCTTTATCTTCTGTGTAGTACTTGGCACTGTCTGGAATTATTTAATGACTCGTTAGCTTGTTTATTGTTGTCTCTTACGCTCCACGAGAGCAATGGCTCCGTTCTCTATCCCAGCACATGGGACAGTAGCTAATACTAAATATTAATAGACTTCCGACAATGAACTGATGAACCCTCTCAGCACTCCTATGAGAATCTTATTATCCCCATTAATATTTCAGGAAATTGAGACTCAGGGGTGACAATATCTGCCTTAACTGCCTATGGAGTGGGGTGAAATCTGAATTTAAATCAGGCCTCCTCTCATTCCAGATCTCAGGGCTTTTCGGCTGCTCTCCATCGACTCTCCCAGGAGATGTCACCCAGTCCATGTATCATTTGTCGAATCTCCCTTTCATAAGCAAATGGATCAACTGTGTGGAAAATACTAGTTTTTCATGCCTACAGTTGTCCATGGAGGGGTGTTATTCTACTATGGAATCCCACCCTCCAGTCTTTGATGATGTCTGTAGACAAAAGTGGTTACCTGTGTTTTTACACCAAGATTCCCCAAAGGACCAGGATGGGGTCCCATGCCTGATCCTCCAGTTTCATCAGCTCCCTGGGGCATGGGACGGGGGAAACATGACAGGAGTGGACAGGTAGGTACAGGGGGGCTAGACTCTAGGACATTTACCAGGGATTATGACAGCTAGCTGGGGAGTTTGCCTGGGTTAAGATAATATTTGGACCTGGGAAATAATCCAAATAATTCAGTAGTAGTTTTCGCAATTTACATTTTTCAGAAGATTGAATCTTCCAGTTTGAGATCTGCATACTTTCCACGGCAAAATAAACCTGGGGAAAAATCTGGCATCTGCAGACTCAGATAATCCAAGTCCCTGCGGGGTTCCCACTCATCGGGCCCACTTCAGCAAAAAGTTTGCAGGAACTCACACCAGGGGAAGCACAGAGATTTATACAGTATCTATTTCTAGAGGCATCTGCAGTTAGATCACATACAAACCTTTTTTCCAGCAAAGGAAACTTCTACAAAGGGATCCACTAGGTTCTTCTTATCTGCATTGCTTCCAAAGATTTCCTTTATGGTCTGAGAGAAAGCATCGTCCACTGGAAAGTAACATGTCACCCGGCAGAGATTAAATCTGATTCTCTTAAAGAATTAGGAGTCACTCAACAAAATTAAAAATGCTCTCCTATTCACACTGTCGCAACAAAAATTGTTCTCAAACGCAGCACTGTGTTGCAGGAATTTCTTGTGTCTTAGTTGAGAGAGAAAGTGTTTTCTCCCCAGAGCATTTTAAAATTAATAGGAACATCTTGAAAAATAAATTGGTAAAATATTCTGTTAAGAATCAATCATTTATTGAGGGGAAAGCAGAAATGAAAAGAGACAACTCTCAAACTCAGGCCTGCTTTTAATTTGGAAAAGGTGCTGTAGGCCAAAATGATATTGGCCTAGTCTGACTTTTCAGATAAATCCAGGGAAATTCGACATAATCATAAATAACACATTTAATTACTTATAAACAACAGATTTCTCTATTTTAACAAACTCAAGTAGGTAGGAATTGTAATGTGTTTTAATTTATTTATTTCATTCAAAATATTTCTGAGGAAAAAATGGCATAGGGGGTCATTATAGGGAAAAGGGAAGGGGGTGTTCCCAGGAAAAGTAGCCAATCCTGAAGCGATCATGGCCTGACTAGTGGGTACTGTCCCTGGCAACTTGAAGAGGAGTCCTCTGTCCCAGGGTCCAACAGGAAACGCATAAGCCAGGCCAGGAAGATAGGATGCTGGGCCTCAGCAATGACATTGGACTGAATGGACTAGTCTCTCTAAACATCAGATGCATCCAATCTCTTAAAACACATATCTCCTAGTACATTACTGACAGACTTTTACTTATTGGCATTTAAGCACCCTCTACTCAGCCATTTTTAATAACCCAATGGCAAACACATTTATTTGTTTATAAAATTTCACATTTTCATTTGGGACGAAAGGAGTTGGGAGTGCTGACTGCTGACCTCTCTTTGGTATGCTCTAGAACAGTGTTTCCCAAACTTTTGACATATGTGTACCCCTTCTATAATTTTCGTAACGCTGAGTACCCCTTGTGCTCATGAGAACGTAGAATTAGGTGCAGCTAAGCACGGTGCAGTGCATATCCCCACCAAACTCCGGTGCAATGCGTACCCCCACCAAACTCTTCCCGTACCCCTGGGGGAACGCATACCACACTTTGGGGAAACACCACAGTCTAGAACAAAGAGAAGATAGGCAACATTCAAGAAAGAAAGGATGGAGAAGAGCGGGCCAAAAGACTCAACCAAAAACATGTAGCAGTGACCAATTGGCTATCTCCTGAACCAGCTCAGGTAGCTTGCAATGGGGCCAACATGAATGAAAATAAATCATGTAAGCCTTTAAGAAAAGAAAAAAAAAATCTATCTATCTATCTATCATCTATCTATCTATCTATCTATCTATCTATCTATCTATCTATCTATCTATGATAGGGAGCACCAATCCCTATTTGGAGTATGATTTTAACACATCTAATCATGAAAATAACTGATAATCTGGAGCAGGATGAAATCAATACATACTCTGGGGGATGTCCTCTGCTCGGTAGATTTTCAGCAAGAAGGTCACCCACCGGAGGGCAATGCCAGCAGGGAGCAACAAATTACTCTCCACATCGTCACTATCATCATCATCACGATCCCGTTTCTCAGGCTGGTGGGGACACACAATAACAAATCACACACACAGAAGAGCAGCGCTTGGAAGAACCAAACTGATGCTTGTAAAACCACACCAATCAGAGCCGTTTCCATTAGGATTTCCTGTTTCAGGCTTAAGAGTTCGGCCACCAATTCAATAAAACTGCTCTACAAAAATCAATGCGCATTTTCTCAAAACACCACGAGAAAATGTGTTCTGTAATTTTATGAGCACTAAATAGTAGAGGGGCCAGAGAGAGGGAGGGAGGGAAAAAGAGAGGGAGGAAAGTAAAGATTGAGTGAGGGAGAGGAGGAAGAGGAGGAGAAGGAGAGGGGGAGAGAGAGAGAGAGAGAGAGAGAGAGAGAGAGAGAGAGAGAGAGAGAGAGAGAGAGAGAGAACCTGAAATTCTGATTTCTCTCTGCCCTTTCATTATTCCTGGGTTTGCTGCCCAATTTTCTAGATGACACTGTCCTTTTAGACAGCAATGTCTGATTCTGCAAGTGAGATACGCTCTATAGATAAACTCATGCAACACAGTCCTAAAAACACACGTATCTATACTGAATGAATCACCCACTCATAGACACCAGGAAGGCGTCTAAGTGAGCTAGAAAATAATTCTGCCAGGAAGAAAAGAAGCGCTTCTGAAAAACATTTCTTAATTAGAAGCTGAGCTCCACTTAAGTACTGGTGCCCCTTGTTTAACCCTTGGCCCTATTTTTGCAGTGAAAAGAGGAAGTGGCAGAAAACGCAGGGGCTCACAGGAGGCTCATCTCCGGTTCCCAGGACAAACATGCTGACTTTTATGTAACCTTTAGCACCCGAGCTGGCATCTTCAGGGTCATTGAGAAGAAGCCATTTTCTCATGACAGCGTGACCTAAAATTAAAAAAGAAGTAAAAGGACAAGGACACTTTAAAAAGAAGCCAAAGGGTCTGTGACCTCATCGCTGTAAGACAAACAAACATTTCCTCTAACGTGTCATCATAGCACGCCAGTTTCCCCAGAGGAGTGCCTGGATTAATGTCCTCCTTTCTGTACTGCCTCCATCCTCATCCTGCCCCCTGTGACCCAAACAAAACTCTCCACACGCTATGAATGGGTTTCATCATTTGACTTTGACAAGATGCAAATATCCTCATAAAACAGAGGAATTACCTGTTTGTGAACATTAAGATAATTACCATTAGATTTAAAAAAATAAAATCCATACTTTCATTCATTCCCGCTAAGTATCCTTCCCCCTTCTCAATCAAGAAAAGAACATTTTTTTATTCCTTGATTCTCCCAACTTCCTTGATTCTCAGAATCTTCCAGTTCATGGAGAGAACATTGCTTACCAGGTTCATCAAAAACGAATCCAACATCAATCTGGGGGAAAATAATTAAAGGAGTTTGGATTTTAAAATCAGTTTTAAGTCAAAGAAACCATCATTATTATATTTAAATTGAATGCCCCTGACTAGACTTAAATTTATTTGGTACTCAACATTCCCATCATATTCTCTGTGTGTGGTATATAGGAGAACCTCAGTCCATCATTTTGAATTAATGAGCTGGTCTTAGACCAGGAAGGACCCACAAAAGTAGGGTGATCAGTGTGTCCCTATTTGCTTGGGACTTTCCAGTAGCACAGAAAGTTTCACATCCTATGAAACCCCTCAGTCCCAGGCAAACCTGGACTGGTGGTTACCCTACAGGCAGTCACCTGACCCAACTGCCTATCCAGCACTCTACTCCTCCACCTAATGCTAATATCAATGTAACAGTTGATTGGGCACTTTAATGTGCCAGGTGCTGTGCTAGATATTTTATATATTCTCTTAATTATTCTATCTTCACAATGATCCCATTTTACAGATGAAGAAACTAAGGATCAGAGAAGTTGACATGTGGCTGGTTAGTGGCAGACAAGGTATGAACACAGGGTCTGCCTGACCCAGATCAACCTCTAGGACCTCTCATGACTATAAGCTCCTTCCTTTGAGATGCAGCCCATTCCGTGTAGAAGGCACCAAGAATGTGTCCCTAATGCCAATGTTCGTTACTTGGAAAAGCACCCAGATTCTCATCCCTGGTTTGGCTTGCCTTTATACTCCAGATTTATAAGAACTGGCTTTGCAGATGGCGCCCTGGTGCCCTGGTAAGTGCGGCTGTGTGATGGGCTTCTTGCCATAAACCACCCCTTCCCTTTGCCGCAGTGTACTGGCTTCCCTCCACTGCTGGGGTGCTGAGAAGGGCTAGATGTGGCAACTTCGGGTTATCTTGCTTTAGGGTGCTGCTAAGTGTCATCTTTTGGAAGTCACTACACCCAGACAATATGCAGCTGGTTTCTGGTCCCTGGGACATTCATGTCCTACTGGTATTCCAGCCCTCAGCATCAATCCCTGACACATAACCTTAAGATGTCACCCAGATGTGGCCAGGAACCTGAGTCTTCATTATGAAAGTGCCCATCTTTGATGTAAGTTGAATGAAACTGACAGTTGTCACCCACCTTAAATTCCCCCATCAGACAATCTGCCCGCAGAGAATGGGAATTATAAACCTGGAAGAAGGAGGAGTGGAGGAAGAATTAGTGGCTCTATCTGGTAGATAGCGGGCACCACCTTCCTACCCCATTGCCCCTCCTTACCCGAATGCTGATGACCTCATCCATCAATTCAGAAGGGGTTCTGTGGACATTGTAGAAAAACAACTGTCAAAACAAAGAGAAGATTGTTTGAATGTTAGCTAGAATGAACTCAGGTTTAGTGTGTATGATACCATAATTTTGAGGGCCCGCCCCAAAAAAATACAACACACAAACTCTAAATTAGGCTTGACCATGTGAACACATTGCAAGACCTGAGAAAAGGCCTCAAGTCTTAAGCTTCATGGGCTTGATAGTAAACTCACCTCTGCATGTTGACAAAGGGAAAGAAGGTTAAGCAACAGCTATAGTGTTTATTTACAAAAATAAGATTGTTCTTTTTGAATCAGATAGCTACTAGCTTAATTAAGTAAAGATTTAAGGTTGCATTTCATGTTTAGGACCTGTAGGACTGGAAAGTTTAGTTTAATTCTATCATTTTTAGCTCTGTCATTTGTGTGTAGTGACTCTCATTTTGTTCTTTCTAACAAAACACCTTCAAAGTCAACTTTGCCCATTAGACGTTGGTTCCTCAGGAGAGTCAATATTGACCACATTTTAACTCACTGTACCAGCTAAGTTTATGAAAGTTGATTCTTGGTAGATAAATATTGGATACATGAAGGCTGTACATAAAACCAAGTTTTATATACTAATAAAGTTTACTTCTAAGAGAGAAAGATTGAATATTTACTTAAACTGAAACTTCTTTTCCTACTTTTTACTTATAAATGTTTTAAGTCTACAGAGAAATAGGAAAAAAAAAGTAAAATAAATACCATCTTTCATTTATGTACACCAATTGTTACCATTTTGGGGACATTTCAGGTTTAGGACATTTCAATTCTTTTTAACTGAATTATTTGTAAGTTCTAGGTACCATAACATTTCCTCCTTAAGACAGATTCTCATGCATCTCCTAAGAATAAGACATCCGAATATACAATCACCCTACTATTATCACACCCAAGAAATACAACAGCTAACATACAGTCATTCAAATTTCTACAATTGTCCTGAAAAAAGTTTTTTAAATCTAGGACCACTCAAGGATCATATATTACATTAAGTTGTTGTGTCTGTTTAATCTCCTTTTATCTAGAACAGAATTCCTGCCTGTTTTTGTTGTTTGTTTTTGTCTGTCATGACTGGTTATGCTGAAGAATACCCCACAATCTGGATGATTCCTCACTGTTAGATTCACATTGACCATTGGACAAGAAACAACCCAGGTGAGGATTACTCCATTAGATCACATCAGGACACACATGTCAGTCTGACCCATGATTGGTGATACCATGTTTAATCGTTTGGTTAAGAAGATGCACATAGCCGAAACTGGTTTGGTTCAGTGGATAGAGCATTGGTCTGGGACTGAAAGGTCCCAGGTTCGATTCCGGTCAAGGGCATGTACCTTGGTTGCGGGCACATCCCCAGTAGGGGGTGTGCAGGAGGCAGCTGATCGATGTTTCTCTCTCATTGATGTTTCTAACTCTCTATCCTTCTCTCTTCCTCTCTGTGAAAAAAATCAATAAAATATTTTTTTTTTTCAAAAAGAAGATGCACATAAACTAGTGATGTTTTAGTAAAATTCCTTTCTTGATGTATAAATTGGCTAAGTTATCTGATTCTTCCTTTTTGCCAAGAGATCTAATCTCAAAAAAAAATAAAAATCATTAAGATGGGAAAATTCTGAGATGGTGAATCATGCTGGGCTCCTGAGAAGGTAACTGAGTAAATATTTACCCTGCATTATAAACGCATTCCTAGGACTTCTGCCTTTCACATCCAGTACCTTGTCCCCCAACATGACCTCCCAGCCTTTCCCCAAGTTCGTTCCAAGTGCCCCATCTCAGGGAGCACCCCTCCCCTCTTAAATGAACTCTGGAACCCCTTATTTGTAGGATTCAGTCTGTGATTCACTGCAGGAGGAAGAGAGGTGAGAAGGAAATGGGGCTTTCTCCAAAGCTGGGGGCCAGCTTGAACAAAGGGGCAGAAGCAGGAACACCAGACAGAAGAAACCAGCGCTTTGTGAACAGAGGTAGGAAAAAAAAAAACACAAAAGCTGGGGCTGGGATTGGAAGCTTTAGGGAACTAAGAGGAACTGTGGTAAGAAACTGTAGTAAGAAAGGCCGTGGCTCAGAAAAGGCATGAGATGCAGGGCCACAGGAATCTCAGAAATGCATCTCCTCAGCTGGCCTTGGTGGCTCAGTGGTTGAGCGTCGGCCTGTGACCCAGGAGGTCACGACTCGATTCCCAGCCAGGGCACATGCTCTGGTTGTGAGCTTGCCCCCAGTAGGGAGCATGCAGGAGGCAGTCGATAAATGATTCTCTCTCATCATTGATGTTTCTATCTCTCTCTCCCTCTCCCTTCCTCTCTGAAATAAAAAAACCAACAAAACATATTTTTTTAAAAAAAAGGAAAAGAAGTACATCTCCTCAGTAGAGCAAATCTGGACTTTCAAAATTCCCCAAACCTGTAATTTCTCTTCACAAGCCTAATTGTGGCATTGAGTTTTGTGGCATTTGAGTCAGGTTTTCAGCATTTTTGAGGAAGGTATTCAGTATTTTTTAAGGGCTATTACAGAAGAAGCCAACAGAACCAAGCGATATTCTCAGTATAAGGAGAGAGAAAGAGAGAGGGGGAAAATCCTTTTTGCTCATCATTGATTTTCTTAAACATCTATTATTTGTATGGCCAGGTAACTTTTGACACTGTTCCAAAGTCAGGCCACGTAGCCACACAGAGCATCCTGCTGGTCAGAAAGACCAAAGGCAGAAGTAGGTGCTGTCATGGGCTCCACATAGAAGTACCGGGATCCCTAAGGAAGGGCTCTGTCAGGGGACTGCTGCGAGATCCCAGACAGACCCCAGCAGTTCTGAGGAGCAATGACGAGGCAGGCTGTGTGATCCCAACACCCAGCGGTCCTTCCGTTCAACGCTGGAACTTTGTGTTGTCTTTTCCCCTCCCACGGGGGACAGGGGGCCGGTGGGTGGGAGGCAGGAAGGTGCATACACCTAGAACAGACTCCCTGGGCCCGTTTACCTCATCGAAAAAGGGGTTGTTCCCTCTCTTGATTCTTGTTCGGTGCGTCTGGTTGCAAACGTGGACTTTGACCACAGGTTTTATGTTGTTGCCACTTAACTGCCGGCCCTCGATCACTCGGATCCGGATCTGCAAGCACAGGAGGGGGGATGCTGTTACGGGTGCCTTCCCAGCCCGCACTGTACGAGAATCTTCAGGTGCTGCCTCCGCTCGGTCACCGGGGAGGGTGGCTGGACCCGGCCGGGCAGCTCGGCAATGTGCCGAAGCTCACGGATTGGGGGCAGCCACCCGTGCTCATTCCCAAGGTGGGGACAGGGGTTGGGTCACAGAAACCAAGAGTGGCGTTTGCAATACTCTAGAGCTGGCCTGGGGCAGGGCAGGCAGGGCTAAGGCCCCTGCTCAGACCCCAGCCGAGCCATGGAATGTACAAACTCACTCCATAGTCGCCTCTGCGAAGAAGGCAGTGCCCAGAGCTATGAAAACGCAGGGCCCGTGCTTCTATTCCTACCCTCTCGGGAAGAAGGGATGGTTGTTTTTTTGTTTTTGTATTTTTTACTTCCACTTTTTATTTATTTATTATTATTATTATTATTTAATTTATTGATTAAGGTATCACATAATTGTCCTCACCCCCCGCCCCATTCCCATCCCAAACCCCTCCCCACATATGGCCCCACCCCCCTTTTGTCCATGGCCGCTGGCTAGGCCCATATGCATGCACACAAGTCTTTTGGTTGATCTCTTCTTACCCCCACTCTCCCCTACTTTCCCTCTGAGGTTTGAGAGTCTGATCGCTGCTTCTCTTACTCTGGGTCTGTTTTTGTTCATCAGTTTATGTTGTTCATTATTTCCTCTAGATGTGTGAGATCATGTGATCCAAGAAATACCCTTGTGAGAACCGAAACTGAGACAAGCCATAATGGTTATGCTGAGAGGCAAACGAATCCATCTGTAGTGAGTTCCTTTCTGGGCCCCAGGGATGGTTTTATTTCCCATCGAGCGGGACTACACGTCCTCCCGCACGAAGAAGAAAGAGGGAGAGCTCTGCCTAGTGGGTTAGGGGCCTGGTGTTCTCTCTGACTGGCTGAGCCACTGCCGATAGAGCAGGTCCTCCCCCGGAGCCCTGCAGCGCAGAGGCTGGACACTGTGGTGAGACAGGCCCCAGGCACTCGGCTCTTTTTACCTGGAAGTCCTGGGGCTTGTTGGACAGAAGCCGCCGCGTGCTCTTCCCTTTGGTGATCCTCCGGGCAAGCTGAGCCTCCGACGCTGTCCTACCTGACCTCTTGGGCGCCGGGACCTGGACCGTGCCGTCTTCCTCACCTCCATCTTCCTCCTCCTCTCCTGAAACACGCAAAAGGAATCCATCAGCGATGGCCCTCCCCGGTGACGGTCTGAGCACTCCGGCTTCCTGGACAGACAGTTTCCTGTGTTCCTGAGGCTCAGGCAAAGGAGACTTGCCTCTTGGTGACACTTGGCCTGGGCTTGTTTTGACTGAGATTCTGGAGGAAGATGTGTTCGTGGTGCGTGGTGGCACTCATTTCGGCTGTCTTCACAGCGGCAGGGAGACTGCCTGAGACCACGGGAGAGGGGGTGAGGCTCAGTCAGACCCAGCAGAAATCACCCAGCTCTGATCTCGGAGCCCAGCCTGGCGTTAAGGGGCCTTTCAGCGGTGAGGACGGAGGGATGAGGATGTCCGTAAGAAACTGGAGCCCTGAGAGGAGGCTCCAACCCCACCCTTCCCACCGCAGATCTCTTCTCCCGAGATGTGCTCATGAGGTTTGTACTGTCTCCTTCCCGCTTGAGCCTCCTGATGCACGAATGCTCTCTCCACCCACTTGCCAGGCAGACCACGGTGGTCATCCTACACTTCCTTTTGTCCCAGTTTGTCAGCATCACACACATCTGTGCCCTCACGTACTCCTTCTCCTCCCCCACCCCCAGCTTCCCTTCCATTCAGGGGAGAGAGCTGTTCCTGTTTGGGAGAGTGAACCCCCTTCCACTGCCTGGGAGCCTACTTCCTTCTGATTCTTTGGGGACCCTCCAGATCTCTCTCTCTCTCTCTCTCTCTCTCTCTCTCTCTCTCTCTCTCTCTCTCTCTCTCTCTCTTTCTTTCATTCTCCAGGTCAGTGTCTCTCTCGCAGCAGGACAATGTCCCTCTCTCTCTCTCTCACTTCCAGGGTTTCTTCTCCATGGTCACCTTCCCTCTGCATTCAAATATGCACAAATCTTTCACACCTTAAAAAAGCAAAAGTCAACTCCACCTACTGTGTCTCCCCTTTCTTTCATTCACAAACTCTTGAAACTCACTGACAAACTTCAGATTTTCTTTTCCTAATAGACAAAAAGCCTGAACTCCCAGTAATCAGTGCAATATAATTTAAGAGAGACTAGGAAAGAGACCTGCATTTGAACTCCCCACCTTTAAAATACAAAATCAAGAAGTTACATCAGTCACTTACATCACAGTATGAATTAGTCTTAAAGTGTGGGCTCTGGAGTCAGGCTGTCTGGGTTCAAATCCTAATTTTAAGACATGGGTGTGAGTCAGTTTCTCATTTTCCATTTCCCCATTGGTAAAAATGGGAAAATCACAGTGCTTACCACAGGGTATTGTAAAGATAAGTTTAATCTACATGTAAAACCTTCAACACAGTGCCTGGCACAGAGTAGCACCCAATAAATTAATCTTACTGGGTTATTTAAGTGTTGTTGAGAAATCAGTTTGGGTTGGAGCACAGAACGCTAGAACACTCCTGGAGAGCAGCAGTGGGTGGGGTGGGATCTGAAGCAATCAGTGGCAGCATGAGGGCTGGGAGCTCAGAGGGAGGAAGGAACAACCATGAGGAAGTAAAAGGCCTCCTTGATGTAATGCTTGAGTTTAGTCCAGCATCAACCCTCCTCCTCAACACCCCTCCATTCTTACTGAGCCCCTCCAACCTGGCTTCTGCTCTGCAAAGGTCAACCATGACCGCTCTTTGCTACTTTAGGAACCTTTCTGAATCCTCACGCTTGGTCTCCACGGCACTGGACAAGGGGAGCCACACCTACGCCTTTGAATCATGGAGCTCTCCTCCTGGTGCTCCAATGTAACCTCCTCGGGCACTTCCGTGGGCCTCCCTTCCTGTCTCCTACTCACCAAGTGTGACTTCCCACTTTGCTCCGCAGCCAGCCCTCTGCTCCTTTGACCTGACACTGCGGATCCACACGTCATGGTCCTTCAAGGAGCCCAGGCCCACAGAATGTTAGACTCGAGGGGGCCTTAGAGAGCCTGCCTCTCACCCACTTGACAGATGAGGGCAATAGCGCTGAAGTGACTTGGGTTGCTGGGAGCTGAGCTGAAACCAGGACCAAGCCTTTGCCCTACCTCACTGGTGCAAGAGTAGATTAAAACCAGGCTGCAGCTGAAAGAGATGCTGTCCTCCTAACCCTTCATCATTGCTGTCAGGGTCAAGAAGCCCCATAGAAGTCAAGGGTATGGAATAGCTACCTTTGACCTTTGCAATATAACCGGGGCCTCAACTTCGCTATTCTTTTTTTTTTTTTTTAATATGTATTTTATTGATTTTTACAGAGAGGAAGAAAGGGATAGAGAGATAGGTTTAGAAACATCAATGAGAGAGAATCATCAATCAGCTGCCTCCTGCACACCCCCCACTGGAGATGTGCCCTCAACCAAGGTACATGCCCCTAACTGGAATCGAACCTGGGACCTTTCAGTCCCCAGGCCGATGCTCTATCCACTGAGCCAAACCGGTTTCGGCACCTTCCGTATTCCCACTACCCCCTGTGACACCCACCTGGGGCACCTGGCTCTGGGAATGTCCTTTCTCCTATTCTCTACCAAGTGAGCTCCTCAACCTCTCAACATTTCAAGTTCCAGAGGAAATGTACTGCCTCGGGCTAGGCCCTCCCTACTTCTCCTGGAGGGAGGGAGTCACCCCTTCATGTACCTTCTACACATTGTTCCACCCAGTCCTCCCCACAGAGACCTCCGTCTATTGTTAGCCCACAGGCCTCCCCACGACCAGCCACTCTCAGAGGCAGGAGGCCTGGCTCTCCTTCTTTCTACCTGCCCCCTGCCTGGCATGGATCCTAGTGTACAGCAGAGGTTGAATGTGGAATGAGTCATAAATGCAAATTAAAACCACAATGAAATACCACCTCTCAGAATGGTTGTTGTTAATAAATCAACAAAGCTGCACTTTAAAAAAAATTAAGAATATAAACATGTGGAAATATAGCCCACAATTAAAAAAACAAACAAAAAAACTCAACTTTCCTGGACCCCACAGAGCTTCAGTAGTTACTGCCCATCTGTACTGCTCCTCTCCAGCTGCAACCCGGCCGTCACCATTCCTATGCGTGAGTGCCATCCTGCCTCTCTTGCCTCCCCAACAATTACCATAACACAGTCAAATCCTCCTGAGCTTTGACTACAGCCAGCAATGACCTGCCTTCTTTCTGAATGTCAGTAACCCCCTCTGTGACCCAAACCTGCTCACAAGTGATGTTTTAATGAACACTTGGGAATGGCTCTCCATCACAACTCCAACAACTTCACAAGCCTTCATAATTCCCGAGATGTACTGTTGGCCTCTTTCCAGAAACTCAATAGCAATATTCCTACAAACTACCCCTGTGACAATGGCACTTCCCTCTAAGGCTAGTTTGTCCAGCCAGTGGGAGAGAGTTGGGGCCTTATGATACAGTCAGATTTGCCTTTGCCATGCCTAACAGTACGTATCCCCAGAAAAGAGGGTAGCAACAAACCCTCTTCTTTCTCCAGCCTCCCATCCTCTCCTCATCTAGCATTTCTCCTCCCAATCAAGCAGAGGAGAGTGGACTACTAGTCACTCGGATGTCACCAGATCTGCAGGCTGTTCCTTCCCCACCTCCATCACTTCCATCTAACCACAGGAATGTCCTGTTAGCAATGCTTAGGAATGGCAGAGGAAAAGAGACACTTGCCCAGTCACCCCTGGGTTTCTCTTGGCCTGGAATATAGCCACCTTCCCGCCAAGCCACACCTACCCTGGCTGGCTAGCAGGCATCCTTATCCAACACTCTTCCCACTCATTTTTTCTTAGAGTCCTAGAATGCCAACCACTGCCCGTGATATTAATTTTGCTTCTCATGATGAAGTCTTGATAAGTGGTGGTACTGGTTAAGGCAGAATTTAATTACCAAAGATCATGGGAAAGTCAGAACAAAGGGCTAGTATAATATCATCAATGCAAGTAAAAAAGTACAAAACAGAATAGGAGAGAGTAAGTTTCCAAGCATGAAAACACTTGGAGATAACAGTTGATTTAGCTGGAATGTTGAATAATAACTTTTCTGGGTTCCTAACATGCTACAGTATATAAATAAATGTCTGTATCCAACCACAAGCAGGTGGATGAGGGAGGAGGAATAAAAAACAAACAAAAAACACCACACAAGCAATTCACTACCCTCTACCCCAATTCTCGGGTAAATGGTACTATATGTGCCCTAAGAGTCTCCTGGAATGGTTCCAAATCATAGACCAGAAAAAGGTACCATGAAGAGCGTCTAACCGAACAGCAATGCAAACACATGCTCTAAACCAGTCTGCGAAATATTGCCCCAAGAGCTCTGTCTGAGTCTGGGCAAGATAAGGTTAACAAACAAACACAGCTCCAGGACTCCTCAAACTGAGCTCCAAAAATCTGTCTGCATCATGATCTCCTGGAAGTTCCTGTTAACTGTACAGATTAGAGGGAGGAAGAATAAAAAACAAACAAAAAACACCACACAAGCAATTCACTACTCTCCACCCCAATTCTTGGGTAAATTGTATTATATGTGCCCTAAGAGTCTTCTGGAATGGTTCCAAATCACAGACCAGCTAAACTAGACTTTCTGGAGGTTAAGTGCCTAAAACTGCACATTTAAATAACTCCCTTGACGATTTCACTGTACCTGAAATTTAAGAACCACTGGTCTGTTATGATCACTTTGATTTTCTTAAATATCCTGGAGAAAAGTTGACCTAATCCAATCAGTTTTCTGGCCACAGGCATTTAGAGGTCCTGCCATGATCTATTGTACTAGCACACTGATCATTTTCCAGCTCAGCTCTGACCAAGTCATCCCTGTTCAGAAAACAAACAAGGTGTCCATCAAGGACAAATGTCCCTGTCTTGCACTCAAAGCCCCCAGGAACATGCTTCCCTTTTATTACACCTCTGAATGAATCAGTCAAATCTGTTCCCTAGTGTTCCCCAAAATTTCTTAGGAAAAAAAAAAAATTTTAATCATGTCCTTTGCTCTTCCACCATTCACTCATCCATGTATTCACTCTACCAACCAGGCATTTA